GGCACAGGGTAGGTAGGACTCCTGGAGGTCAAAGTTCTAGAGGTCATAGGACAGCAAGAACTCACACTGTCTCCGGGAACAGAAAATCTGTCATGGAGTGTTTGAGCAGAGGTGAGGAAGGGTTTACATAGGGCCTGCATGCAGCCCTTACAATTGTACTCGTTTGTGTAATTTTGCTTTTTTTTTTTTGAGATAGCATCTCATTATGAAGGCAAAGCTATCTTGTTCCCGCTCCCCGAGTGCTGGGATTATAGGTGTGTGTCACCAAGCCTGGCATAGTTCTGACTTCCCTTGAAAGGCAAATGTGTGTCCAGGAGGTTATCTGCATGGAGATGTGACCTACTAAAGTGGTTTAGTGAAAATTCTTGTCAGTGTCCTTGAGGCAAGGTTGATGAGTTACTTGGAATATAAAAAGTAATAGAACACTATAAAATAATGCTAATTTTGTCCACAGATACGAATTGCTTATGAACTGCTTCGTGTCATTTCCACTGCCAGTAGTGATGGTGTAGGTTACAATCTGAATTTTTGAGTTGTGGGTTCCCATCAACCCTGAAGAGGAGATTTTCATGTCTAAGCCCTGAGGACATGTCCTTTGGCTCATAGAGCCCTGTAGCTTTCTCTCTCATAGCAGGCACCTCACCTTTCAGTATCTGGTTAGAATGACCTGATCACACAGGTCAGACAAGCCTGGGGTGGCCTGGTCCAACCTTTGCCTTCATCGAGCAGGCAGATGTGGGGTCAGGGCTGCCTGGTCTGAGGTCTCCAAGAGAGGACCGTGCAGGGGAAGACTATCCTAATGACCTTTGGTACAGGGTAAGCCCACACACAAAGAAGGAATGCCACCCCCCTCAAATGTCTGGATTCTAGCTTATCCTGGTCTACCCTGGAACAATAACAGGTTGTTTGAAAACAGCTAGAACACCAGAAGCCCAGTATGCCACTAGACACAAGCCTGGTATTAATGGGTGGGGGATGAGGGGGTGAACCGAGGTTTGGGGTAACAGAATTCTAGGAGGGGAAGCTGGTGCACACACCTCTACCTGCTCAGGACTGATGCCATGGGCAGCATTCCTACGTTAGGTGGTGTTACAGGAAAAAGATGAAGATGAGTAGCTAAGTCATTGGAGCCCTTGTCAGCTGACTCTGAGTTGAGCAAAAGAAAGACTGTGTTTGGTGGGCCTGTCCTAACCAGTCAAGCCCTCGAAGGGCCTCTTCTGACTTTGAGATGGTAGCCTGCCATGTGAGAGAGGCCTATGCAGGGATCTGCCACACCAAAAGCTCTGAGCAGTCAACAGAAATGGGGGCCTCAGTCCCTCCATCCCAAGGAACTAAAAAGACTCTGTTAACATCAGGTGAACTCAGAACTGTCCTGGTTGCCTGATTTATGTGGGAAGACCCACCCCTATCATGGACGGTACCTTCTGGCAGCAGCCCATATATAAAGAGCACTGCAGAAGGAAGATTATTTGTCCTTTGCTCAGCTGACCTTCCCTCTGGCCTCTGAGCTGATTCCTTCACCTACATCAGAAGCAGCATTTCCAGTCTTTCACCGTGGACTAGGGACCAGCAGTTCTCCAGGAACCTTCCAGATTTGCAGCCCACACTGCGTCTGCCGGGGCACCCAGCCTCTTGAACTGAGCAGATACTGGATTGTTGCATCTCCAGTGAGAGACCATCACAGCGGGAATGTAGCCAGCCCCAGGAACCAAACAACTACTCGGTTCTCAGTCTACATAGGCTGATGGACTGACTAAAGGTATGGGGAGTTTGGAACGTCACAGTTCCAGAGCCTAATAACATTTTACATGGCATGAACTTTAGCCTTAAAAAAAAGGTCATTTCTTGCCCACCTCTGTGTCAGACCTAATATCCTGCTACTAGATAGACCTAATATATGACAACAGATAAAATGCTTTTGAAACTTGAGAGAACTCCACCAATCAAGGGCTAAGAGAGCTGTCGGATAAATCTGAGATCCCCCATCTTCCTGTAACCACCTACTTAGTGTTCTACCAGCGTATTTATAACTGCCTTCCCCGATAACTTTATTTTCTGTTGTTTTAAAACTCCATGAAGATGCATCCACGTTGTTAAACATGGATTTGGCAACTAAAACCTGTGGTCCCTGGGTCTGTGATCTCTCATATTTTGGCTCCTATATGAACTATCTCTTATTCCCTTTGAGGGGAAAACTGTGTTTTTGTGTTGGCATTCCCTTCCTCTAGAGAACTGACTAGTACAAAGAGCAAGTGCTTTACCGGCTGGGCCACTCTCCCAGGCTTTACCTGATATACTCTTGGCTGACAGAAACCTTGTTGCAATGCATCACTAAGCTCAGAAGGCCTCCCTGCCCCCTCAACCCTAAAGCTAAGAATGTGATATCCCAGTCCCATGGAGGAATTTCCCTCCTCTGCCACAACCCACCTATGTGATGCTCCGCCAATGTCACTGGCAACTATGTTGGTATCTGGCTTTCTTCTCTCCCATAGCTGTAAAAGCTCATGTTGCCTCTTTTACAGTGGAAGTGCCATCCTGGATGACTTGCATCTGTTTTCCTAGGCCACAAGTCTGTCATGTCCGGCTCAGAATAAGCTTTGTTTTTGTTTGTTTGCTTAACCATTTATTCGTTCAATGAGAAAGGGTCTTGCCCTCCATCCTAGGTTGTCTTAGAATTTACTACATAGCTCAACTGGACCTCAAACTCTTGCTGACAGGAAAAACACAGCTCTCACCTCAAAGGAAATAAAAGACAGTTCATTCCAAAGCCCAAATCTGAGTGACCATGGCCTGGGAAACACAGAGTTACGAGATCCCAGGTGCCATGTTCTCATATGGAAGCAGTTTCGTGGAGTTTTTATAGTGTGGTTGAATGGTCCCCACAGGCTCATATTTTTGAATGCTTAGTCACCAGGGAGTGGAACTGTTTGAGAAGGATTAGGAGGTGTGGCCTTGTTGGAGGAAATGTGTCACTGGGGGTGGCCTTTGTGGTTTCAAAAGACCCCACCTGCCTGGTGTTTTTCTCTCTGCCTGTGAATCAGGGTGTAAAGTTCTCAGCTCCTCTCCAGCACTATGCCTGACTATTTCCCACCTTAGTGATCATGGACTAACCTTGTGAAACCAATAGCAAGTCCCCAGTTGCATGATTTCTTTTTTAGGAGCTGCCTTGGTCATGGCATCTCTTCACAGCAATAGGACAGTGACTAAGACATGTGGGAACAGAGCAAAGAGAGTTTTAAATCAAGCATTTAAAAACTACCTTGGTTTCTGGGTAGTGGAACATACCTTTAATCCCAGTACTCCAGAGGCAGAGGTAGGCTGATCTCCCTGTGAGTTTGAGGCCAACCAGGTCTACAAAGTGAGTTCTAGGACAGTCGGGGCTGTTACACAGAGAAACCCTGTCTTGAACAGGAAACAAACAAACAACAACAACAAAACTAAACAAACAAAAAACAAAGTGGAACACCAGAGAGTCAGGTTAAGACCAAGATGGGGGAATCTCTGCCATAGCTTTGGATACTATCTGACAATGTTCTTTGCTTCTAGGTCTGGGATGCTGATAGTCTGCTGAGAATCCAAACAGTTTTATTTAGTAGTGATAAGATGTTAGTTTGGATGCAAGGAACTGGGCAAGTAGCCACTCACAGGGCTAGAGCTAGCCTGAGATAAGGTCGTCAGCCTCTAGACTTGAAACATTCCAGCCCCTGCACGCACAGCGGCTAATCAGCCAGCCTTTGCAGACAGCCTCTTTCCAGGAGTTTGTTCACCCTCTCCATCCCCTTGCCCCCCTCCTCCCAATTGTGACATCTGCCTTTTCTTCCTTTAGAGTTGCTGAAAATGGGCTGGGCCATTATCCTGAACTTTCGAAACATAATATTACAGAATGATGCTTTAAAAAAAAAAGTAGAGTTGCTGTTCTAAGTGGATACCTTTAGGACCCAGACCAGGCCACATGACACCTGCTCTGGCTCTTCCTCCCTCCTCACAGATACCAGGTCCCCTGCTCAGAGCACTTCCTACAAATCTCTAGCTATGAACTTCCAGAGGGGACACATCAAAGGGCCAGCTGTGGCTATGGCGGTCATAGGTGCACTTCCTCTCCAGCTTCCCTGTATCCCACAGGGGACTTGGGGGAGCTTAGCTGCTATGCAGTGAAACCTTCCCAATCTTCATAAACTCAGTTCTCGGAGCCCTCCGTTCCTATCTGTTATGCTATTGTTATCAGACTTGGGGGTACCCAGCCTGTGCCCCAAGGAAGGTTGGCCACCTATCCTTAATAAGCCAATGAAAAGAACCAAACAAAGTGGAAAGCAGAAGAAGGAGATTTATTCAATGTGACCACAGAGATCCAGCTGACCCTAAAGTCAGTCTGCAGGGCACTGCAGCAAGATCAGAGCTTAAGGAGAAGGTCAGGGATATGCACATCTGAGCAGTCCCAGACAGGTGTGGTCCTGCCCACTGCTGACACATCCTCGTCTGAGCTTCAGCCTCATATTTTAAGGTGGTCAGACATGTTGTCAGAAATGTGTGAAATCTCTTTCCCCGGCTACCTGGTCCCCAGGATGAGATTCCTGGGGGGAATTCCCACTTTTTTGAGGTTCACAGTTTCAACAGTTTGATAATCAGCTTGGAAGCTACCTATTAACACTCTGCAGTCCTGAGGCTTGAACTCTCCTCAGAGCCCCAACTAAGCTGTTGCCTGTTTATCTGTCCATCTTCCTTCAGCCTAGAGTTTCTCTTGGGGATTCTCCAGCCCTACCTAGGCAATTACCCGCCCGAGGGCACACCATTCCCAGGCTCTGGTCCCTGGCCCTGCCCACCTGGGATGCCTCCCAGACTTGAGCTGTTTGTAGAAAGAGTTAAGAGATGAGCTCACAAAACCAAAGAGCTGTTGCCCAAATCTGCTATGCTATTGGGTGTAAGGAGGTGTGACAGACCAGACCCGGAAATGGCTGAAATTCTGGGCTGCTGCTGGGTGAGGCCAGGAAAGAACCAGAATGTGACTTCTAGCCTGCTCTGGCCCAGGTGATCACATGACCACTGGGGACTTTGCACTGGGGCTTACAGGAAGAGTAGAGGCCTGGCCTGCAGGCTGGGGTCTTGCCAGGAGCGGAGGCCTTCCTACTTCCTTTGCTCCACGGCGGGTTGTCCAGTGGTACACAGCTCCTCCCATCCTGCCCTGCAGGTCCCTGACCAGTCAGTCCATCCAGGACCTAAGGGAAGTACTGCCAGGGGGAAGGAGGAGGGAGAAGGGAGCCAGCTGGGATCCTGTGGGATGATGGTCTGTGGAGCTTCCTCAAAGTGAACAGGTGAGCCATTGTTTTAACTGTACTCTGCAGAGGGCTGTGTGTGTGTGTGTGTGTGTGTGTGTGTGTGTACATGCAGATGTGTATCCCCGTGCTCTCAGGAGCTTAATCGGGTGCAGAGCTGAAACAATGCACTCCCTGTGTTTGTTCACGGCCCACAGTGTCCTTGTTTAGATTACAGGTGGCTCCCGAGGTCATATTCTGGGAAGGAAGTATCATTTGAATTTTCCTTGAACATAAACTGCCAGTGTGACGAGGAGCCTTCTAAGAGGCCTTTTCAGACTGCAGCAGAGTTTCGAGCAGTAACAGGAGCCTGGCAGACTTTCTTCCAAAACTTCCTTCTAATCTGCAGCTTGTTTTTTCTCTCATATCAGCTGCCCCCTTGTCCCTTGTTCTGAATGAATGGCTTTGAGGATTCGGGCAAGGAGGACAGGGTGCAGCCTCCCTGGGCTCCCTCCTTCCTTAGATTTTTTTTATGTGTGTGTGTGTGTGTGTGAAAGAGAGGCAGGCTTGTGACAGCCGAAGAAGCACCAAGTCGAGATGAAGCAACTCCTACTCACAGTCTGGCAGCCATTGCCCCCAGAAAGATCTAGATTCTAGAGGAGGGGGCAGGTACCACAGTTCCACTTTTCTCTCCACGCAGAGAGTTCCAGCTGCTGTTATTGGAAGCCTGCAACATAAGGTCCCTCAAAAAGTAATATGAAAGGATCTACTGTGCTGTTATCTATCACAGAGAAAGTAATTAATATCAGAAAAATCCAGTAGGAGGGAAATGAACCATTAAAGTGAGATAGTTTGTAAGAATCTGACAAAGCTGTGTGGGTACTGCATTTGATGTTGTGACTTAGTTTTACGATTTTAGAGTCTTTGATCACATTAAAGCTCAGGGATTATTTATTTAGCTGTTTTCTTGTTGTTGTTTTCCTTTTGTCTTTTGAGATGGGGTCTTCTATGTAGCCCAGAAAGGCTTGAAACTTGTGGCAATCCCCTGCTTCAGCATCCTGAGTGCTGAACACACCAGCATTGATTTGGAGGTGCAAGGTCAGCGTTCCCCTGCACTGTTCCTGAGGCTGACTGTTCATCCTGCCACTCTGCCAGCCACTAGGACCGAGCTAGTGCCTCAGGAGTCCCAGAGAGCACAAAAGCAGCAAGCTCCAGCTCCAGGCTGTGTGCTTGCCCTGGAGAAGCTGCTGGGCCTTTGTCCCACGGAGGTTGTGCCAGGCCCTCTGACTTCCTCCCCATCTCTGGCACGTGTCTTTGTGCGGGATCAGGTGGGCTCAGAGAACATACCCACCCTGTTTCTCTCTGGAGGGCCCTGGCAGCTGCATTCTCAACAGCCCTACCCGAGCCGTGTACGGGTTGGTTCCACAGTGACCTGTGAAGGTTCTTCAGTGCCTGCTGGAAGCTCTGACTTCCTTCCTGCCAGTACATCAGGCACTCATCCAACAAGCATCTGGAATGGGCATATGACAGGCATGGGAGCCCAGGGCAGAAAGTGCATCAATCCAGTTAGACTCTGTGGAGCCACTTCCGGGTTCCCTCAGGACACAGTGAGCATTTGTGGTAGCCTCAGTGGCTTCAGCTCCCCCAGTGCCTGTGGCATGCTCATTAAAGGCAATCCAGCTTCAGGGTGGTAGTCACAGCCCAGTGGGAATCCTGAGCCACCGATGAGACAGGTACACTTTTTTACATGCCGCAATCACTTCAACCAGGGGGGACGGGAGAGAGGCTCTGTGGTGACGGGCCTGTGGTCTGTGTTGTTGGTTGTTGGAGATGGAGACATGGTGGAGGAAGGAGGGTGGCAGGTATGGCATCAGGCAGGAGGCTGCTGCTGAGGAGAGTTGACGGACTCTGGTGACAGCGAGCAGGACCAGAGCTGTAGTGAGGAAGATCCGTGACCTGTTTTGTATGGAGCTGACAGTTGACTCCTGGCAGAGCCTGAACTCCAAGACACATGTCCCTCCTGGTACCTATTCAGGATTCTGGACTGTGGCTTGCCATTTGGCTCAAAGGGTAGAGTTTCTGGGTGGAGGCTGCATACGTCACTCCTGGAGGCTGACTGCGCTCTCTCTCTCTGTCTCTCTATCTCCCTGTCGCCCTCCGTTTAGTTACATATTTCAAAACAACATCCTTCAGTCAACTGATTCATCCATCCACCCACTCCAACCAATCACCCACCTACTCTCCCACCTATCTACCCACCTATCAATTCATCCATGCATCCATCCATCCATCCGTCCGTCCGTCCATCCATCTGCTTACTCTCCTCCATCCATGCAACTCTGCATGCAGCCATCTTCCCACATATTATTTGTCCATCAACGCATCCACAGATCTATCCACTCACTCTTGAGTCCAACCACTCACCCACGTATCCACCCACTACATGCATGCATGAATCCATCCATTGTTTAGATGTGTGCTGAGCACCTATTATGTGCTAGGCATTGTTGCCAAACTTGAAAGAAGCGAAGACAATTCTATAAGTGGCTCTTGGACTTGGCTTCAGGCTTTGGCCATCTGTATTTTAATTTTAAGTTAGTTGATTTTTGTGATGTTGGGTTGTCTTAGTTAGGGTTTCTATTGCTGTGAAGAGACACCATGACCATGGCAATGCTTATAAAGGAAAACATTTAATTGGGGCTGGCTTACAGTTCAGAGGTTTAGTCCGTTGTCATCATGGCATGAAGCATGGTGGTGTGCAGGCAGACATGATGCCGGAGAAGGAGCTGAGAGTTCTACATCTGGATCAGCAGGCAGCAGGAACGGACAGTGAGCTACTAGGCCTGGCTTGAGCTTCTGAGACCTCCAGGTCTGCTCCCACAGTGACACATTTCCTCCAGCGAGGCCACGCCTACTTCAGCAAGGTCACACCTCCTAATAGTACCACTCCATGTGGGCCTATGGGGGCCATTTTCATTCAAACCACCACATGGGTGAATGGGGTTTTTAAAAGCTTTAAAGCGACTACTTAGTTGTTTCTGATCCTGCCCTGAAACCAAGGCACGGGGAAACTTTAGGGTCCCCTGTGATGGGCCCCAAGCCGGCTGTGCTGTTGGTCACAGTTGTGCTGCCTGCCTGAGTCCCTCCCAGTGGCAGAGGAACCCTGCAGCCTTCTCTCTTGGACTCTGGCTATTTTTCTCTGCAATTGCTCCTTGGTATTAGGATCCCGTGAGACCCAGTGTCTGTGTCGTGCTCTTTTCTTCTGTCACGAGGTCTGTGTTGTGGTTTCTGTCTATCTTCCCTTTACCTCCCCACTCTGTTCCCACCCAGCCTTTGCCCACTGTGGTGGGAGAAAGGCTCTGTTTTCGAGACTAGCCACACATAATGGGTGTAGACATTAATAAGGGGACATTCCAGAAGTGTTCCAGATAATAAACACAGGGGTGGGAGGTGACACCACAGTCTCACCATTTTTAATCACTTCTTGACACAGTAGAACCAGGCAGGGGCCTGTGAACATTAAAAAAAGAGACAACCAGATATTGTCTGCCTTCTCTGGGTTGGGGACACCACACTCAAAAAACTTCTTGCCCTGTGCCCTGTGCTGTTTATATGAGATGAGACCCCTGTTCTGAACCACAACAGGCAGAGCTCACAGGAATATATGTGGCCATGACAGCATAGGGAGACCACCAGCAATAGGACGGGGCACAAGAAACCTGATGTCTTCTCACATGGGTTATAAAGAAACATGCCAGTGTGGTGGTGTGCACCTTTAATCCCAGCACTTGGAAGACAGAGGCAGGTGGAGGCAGGAGGATCTCTGTGAGTTCAAGGACAGCCAGGACTACACAGAGAAACTTTGTCTCGGAAAGAAAAAAAGTAAAGAAAGAGAGCACACAGGTCTATGGAGGTTTCCTTAGGGAGTTTGGGAGTTCCTGTGAGGGTGAGCACTGGGCACATAGCTCCTGATGTCTGATGTGTGCCTGGAAGCCACTGTCATTTAGCTCCACGCAGGGCCTCTGTGTTTTCACTACAAAGCTGGGCATTGAGTCCTCAAAGACAACAGAAAGGATGGGTGTGTTGAAGTCCTCGAGACACAGATATCTCCCCCACCCCATGCCTGGCTTCTTCCCTCCCTCCCTCCCTCCCTCCCTCCCTCCCTCCCTCCCTCCCTCCCTCCCTCCCTCCCTCCCTCCCTCCCTCCCTCCCTCCCTCCCTTTTCTCCTCCCTCTTGTTTGATGGAGTCTTACTGTGTAGATCAGACAGGTCTCAAATTTCGCATTCTCCAGCCTCAGCTTCTGGCAAGCTGGGATTGCAGGTGTATCTTACCATTCCTGGTCCTAGAAGGTTACCCCCCTTGTACCACAGAGTGAAGTTTTAACTGGAAAACAGAGGATTCCAGGGGAGAGGCAAGCCCTGGGGAGCTTAGGCTGATGCAGACAGGGAGGGAGCTGCACCTGCTTGGGTCTGGGAGGTCTGTGCTGTTGATAATGAGGTGACTTTTTTTTAAATCCTTCTCTCAGGGGTTGAGGGAATTTTCCTAGGTGAAAATTTGGAAACATCGACTTTAATCCAGGAACAATAGAGAGGTGTGCAGGTGCTTTTGACCTCCCTTGGGTGCTTGGAATAACTCTGTAAGCAGTGAGAAACACTGCAGTGAGTGATTTAGGATAAAGAACCCTGTGTGATGCTGGTGGAGGCCACTGTAGTGAGGCCCCACAGCCCCTGGTCATGCAGCAGACAGCTTCCCAGCAAGCTGCTTTTCAATCTCTGCTCAAGGTTCCTGCATTCTGTCCAGGAAGCAGCCTGCCCCCTCTCCCTGTGTGTGTGTGTGTGTGTGTGTGTGTGTGTGTGTGTGGTGTGTGGTGTGTGGTGTGTGGTGTGTGTGGGGTGGGTGTGTGGTTGTGGGTGGGTGTGAGTGTGGGTGTTGTGTGTGTTGGACTTGCCGAGGATTCCCACCCACCTCAGTCTCCTGCTGTTGTTTGCAGGCTATGGCGCAGGCTGCTGGGCTACCGCAGGTCGGCACTACTTCTGGCCAGCCCTATGTGAGCAAGCTGGTTCTGCTTGGAAGCAGTTCTGTGGGCAAGACCAGCCTGGTCCTTCGATACATGAAGCAGGACTTCAGCAGTGTCTTGCCGACTGTGGGTTGTAAGTGAGGAGAGCCCTGGTAGGGGCAGATGGGAATGTGGTCTGCTTTGGGATGGCTGGGTATGCCGGGATTGTGGCTGTCCATCAAGGGCAGGCAGGCACAATGTTCTGGAAGTGTGTGTAAACAACCTTCACTAGGGGTCAAGTTTCAGCCCAGCTGGCATTTGTGTGTGTGTAGATTCAGGGGCAGAGGCTTGTCTAGAAGGCTTGAGTGTGGGGACTGGCAGTGAGGGCAGCCTGCTAATGAGGCTCCCTAATCAACTTTCTGTATTGAGAACGTGCTCTATGCCTGGCATCACGTACCTAGGCGCCTCGATTTTTCCAGGTTCTTGCTGCATCCTTATGATTGTAGCTCTAATGTCACACTGTCTGTGCAATTCATCAGTATCACGTACTGACCCCCTTTCTACTTGGGTTTGGTCCACTAGGTCTGGGCTGGGGCTGGGGATGCTATAAGGGAAGAGAGGGAGAACCTCTCTGTATGCTTGCTGTATGTATGCATGCATATAAGTGAGTATGCATATGTATGTGTATATGTGAGTACATATGTTTGTTTGTGAGTATGTATGTGTGTGAATATGTGTGTGTGTGTGTGTGTGTGTGTGTGTATGTGTGAGACAAGGTCTCACTATGTAGTTCAGGCTGGCCCGGAACTCTCCACCCTCATGCTTCTGCTTCCCGTGTGCTGTGATAATAAGTGTGTGCCGTCACACATGGCATGTTTTAATTTGGAGCAAGAACAGATTAGAGAGCACCCCCTCCCCATGCCTGTCATTCTTGTTATTCAAAACCCATTGGGGGTCTTCTTAGCTCCCTAAGTGGATAGTCCAGCCTTTAGAGGCCCAGTCAGAGAGAACGAGCTAGGGCATGATCGGGGGTTGGGGTGGGTAGGAGTCCCCCGTGCTGAGCCTCTCTCCTGGGAATGAACTTGAGGACCGCCTTATGCATTTGAGGCTAGCACTCTGCCGTGGGCTTGCTTTCCAGCCCTGAAAATTAGGTTTTTAAGAGACACCTTGACAGTCCTTAGACAGCCTGGGCAGAACTAAGTGACCCACTAGCTGCCTTTGCTTTAGACACTGCCATTAGCGGATGCTAACATTGACTGGTTTTTGAGGTCACACGCGGGGCAGCATGTTGAGTCTTTCACTAGCTTTGCTGCAATTCTGATGTGTGTGGGCTGTGATACAACAGTGGTCAGGAGCCATGAAGCCTGCTTATGCCTACCCCTGATGATTACATCTCCAATCGCTTTCCTTTTCATTGAGACACTCTATTAAAAAAAACAAAAGACATATAGGGTTGGAGAGATGGCACAGAGGTTAAGAGTACTGGCTGCTCTTCCAGGGCCCTGAGTTCAAATCCCAGCATCCACATGGCAGCTCACAATCTGATATCTCCTGGTCTGCAGGCATATGCGCATACATTAGCACCTGTATACATTTAAAAGGCATATAATATTTGAAATTTATTCTTTGAGAAATTCATCCCCCATCCCAACCCTCCCTACCCACTTCCATTTCCAATTCCCCCAGAAATCTTTTACTTTATTCCAAGGGCTTAGCTCCACCCAAGCTGGAGTTCTATAAGGGGCATGAAGCAGTTGCCAGCTGTGCTTGGCTTTGTAGGGAAGTTCTGGCTTCCAGAACCGGCGTTCACTCAGCCTCCATCAGCACGTGCCCCTCTGCCTCTCACTGGGCTGCTGAGCACAGACCGCCACGACACACCAGCAGTCACTGACGACCACCTTATCCCCAGCGAACACTCATTGGCCTCCTTGCTGCAGGTGCATTCTTCACGAAGGTGGTGGATACGGGCTCCTCATCTCTGAAGCTTGAGATCTGGGACACAGCTGGCCAGGAGAAGTACCACAGCGTCTGCCACCTCTACTTCAGGGGTGCCAATGCTGCACTCCTGGTATATGACATCACTCGGAAGGTAGGGCTGCCTCCCACCTCCTCCCCCGGGCAACTGTACTGTTTCCTGCCTTCTACAGGGATCAACGGCCAGGGAACATGACTGGTGCCATGGTTTGTGAACTGCTATATCTATGAAAAGGGACTGTTAAGCCCATACTACTTACCTCATTCAGGAAGCCCTCTTGGAAAGCCCTCACACCCCGAGTTAGGCTCTGCTTCTCTGCAGTCTCCTGGCACATTCCCTACCCTGCCCCCCATCACCACTGTCACCAGTACTGGTGTGCTGCTGAGATGTCAGGGGCTGTTACAGTCCCAGCTCACTGCCAGAGGCCATCCAGAAGCATCCATCCATTTTGTATCATCAGGGGGTGCAGAACACAGAGCACACCTGAGAATTACCCTGAAGAACTGAACTCACATGTCTCTGTGTGTCCAACCTTGCAGGGTGAGCTTGCTGCCCCAGAGCCTCTAAGAGGAGGTCGGGAAGCGGGGACTAGTCATACCGGATAGGAGGCAGGAAGGCATACGGGGTACAAGAAGCCTGGGAGAGGGTCTCACATAAAAAGTTCCAGTGGATCCAGAAAGTATGTGTTGGGCACAGGTCCAGGAGTGTGGAAAGATGGGTCCATACATCAACCGCAACTCCAGAGGACAGGAGAAAAGTGCCAAAGGATGCAGAGCCAAGCCCACACCCCCCCCCCAGCAATGGGGAGCTGCAGTTAGGAACCTGTTTGGGGGATGATAATAGTTCCCTTGAACTCTCGCACAAAATGGTGTCCAGAGTGGAGCTCCTGACCCCAAATGCCATGTGACCTGGCTCTCTGGTATGCAGTCTGGTTGCACCATCCTCCCCTTCCAGGGCCAGCCCATCCTGGCTGCCCTCCCAGGAGACCAGAGCAGTCCCTTGGCATTGCATTCTGGGAAAAGGCCTTGATGTGGCCGCGTACCCTCATGGGACACTCTCTTTTCTCTTCTGGCTAAACAAAGAGAACTCCAGCGTGGTTTCTGTTCTGTCTCTTCAGGATTCCTTTCACAAGGCCCAGCAGTGGCTGGAGGACCTGGAGAAGGAGTTCCACCCAGGAGAGGTGGTGGTGATGCTGGTTGGCAACAAAACGGACCTCAGTGAGGAGCGGGAAGTGACCTTCCAGGTGCCACGTGGTGGAAGGCAGCGGGAGGGGGTCCTTGTCTCTGTGGACTTGAGGGCTTTTGAGACCTTGAGACATGTGCACCACACAGACAGACAGACAGACAGACACACACACACGTGCGCACACGCACACACGCGCACACACATGTACACACACACATGCACACGCACTATGCTTCAGGTACTCATGTACCTACCTACAGACTTGCACTCGCACATACACCCATGATCCCTCTACCCACATACATGCTCATACTCATAAGCACACACACGCTCATACACACGTGGAGTCATGCATGAATATACTCTTCAGAGGCATAGTACAAAGTGCCTTCAAAGTCATATGTGTTAATCCCTCCACATGAAATCCCACATGCACATGCAGTCCATGTGTGCAGAAATACAGAAGATTCCACATTAGTTCCCCTTTTGGTTGTAGGTTCATGTAGGAGGTGTGTGTACACATATGTGCACAGGGAGCGTGTATATGGGGTAGTCTGTGTGAAGAGTGTGCGCACACACATGTGACCCAGCACAACCAGTCTTTTATCTGTAGTCTTGAGGCAGGGTCTTATGTGTTCAAGGCTGGCCCGGAACTCACAGTAGTTCCTTCTGCCCCAGCTTCCAGAGTGCTGGCATTATAGGTCTATTCCAGTTTCTTGTTGTGTGTCAATCAGGTGTCCTTGAAGGGACTCTCAATAAACACACTGACCTTTTCCTCTAGGAAGGGAAGGAGTTTGCGGAGAGCAAAAACCTGCTATTCATGGAAACCTCGGCCAAGCTGAACTACCAAGTGTCTGAGGTCTTCGGCACAGTTGGTGAGTGACGGGGCTCCACGGGAGTGTGGGGGCTCTCCACTGTGCCTCTTCCCCTGGGCCGTCTTCTGGTGTTCCTGGGGCTGGGAGGGCACGAGGAAGAGTGATACAGAGTGCTTGGGTTAGGGCTCTGGGGGGCTGGAATTCCCTCTCCAGTAAACCCCGTTTTCTACAGCTCAGGAGCTACTGCGGAGAGCGGGAGACAGGGGGAGCAGCGCGCAGGAAGGTGAGGCGGTGGCTCTGAACCAGGAACCTGCTGCCAGGAAGAGCCAGTGCTGCCCATGACAGACTACAGTTGCTGCCACTGCAGGGAGCGTGCAGACGACGCCGGTGCCTCAGGTGCCATCAGCCCGAGTGACATCTTCAGAACAAGGCTGACGGCTTTTCGTTCATATTCTCTGTTGAACCTGGATTATGCCTGAGCCCTGGAGGCTTCCAGAAGTTGGCTTCCTTCATAATAACTGCTCGCCAAAGCTTCCGGGAACTGCAGCCCCACCTTACCAGATACCACCAGATTCCTGGATGCCCTGAGCCAGTGTGCCTGCCCCGCCTGGGCTTTCCCATTCAGTTGCCTTGCTACAGCACAGGCGAGTTAAAACAGAGCAGAAGCACGAACTGGAAAAATTCCTTGATCCATGTGATGGAAAGGCAGATGCTTCATCGTGGGGCAGCTGGTCCATAACTGGACCACCGTGGTCCTGGGAGCTGCCTGGGGAGCAGGGGGCTGATAAGGGCATCAGTGCAAGGAAAACAATTGAAGAGATGAGCCCGTGGTGGTGGGTCTCAGTGAGGTGACCCTTGAGAGACAGTCTGGAGTGCCTGGGATAGAAATGTCCCCCCTCCAGCTGGGGATGGACAGAGCCAGGACTCTAGAGTCTCCATTGTATTGTACATGCGTCCTTCTTTCTAAACATTAAATGTCTTGACAATCTGACCACAGGGCTTCACTGGGACCTGTGCCTGACAGTCTTTCTGCACACATCAGACTGGTTTGCGGGCATTAAACGTGGTGAGGCTGCGGGGCAAGTGTAACGAGGATGGGTGTAGGCATCGGTCTGTGCTGGCTGTCTCTCCTGGTGGTGACTGCATTGTTTTCATCGTGAGTCCTCATCTTTATAGAGAAACTCAGGACCTTGTCTAGGCAGGAAGCATCGGTCTGTGCTGGCTGTCTCTCTTGGTGGTGACTGCATTGTTTTCATCGTGAGTTCTTATCTTTATAGAGAAACTCAGGTCCTTGTCTAGGGAGGAAAGACCCAGAGGCAAGATGGAGGTATTTCAAGTGTGGCCATTTATGGAGACAAAGATGGCTTTTTTTGGAATCACTGCTTCTGGGAGTGTAATAAGCTGTTGAGTCTGAATAATGACACCCTGTTGCTGAGTGTGGTGATACAGGCCTCTAATCCCGGGGCACGCAAAGCTGATGCGGCTAGCTTGTTCCGAGTTGCATAGTGAAACAAAGACAAAACAAACAACAAAACTAACAGAAGAAGCAAGCCCCAGAGAACACCACAAAATGGAACACTGTTACGTCCCCGAGGGAGGTGACCCCACTTGTCCAAGCTAAGCTCAAATGGACAAACGTGGAACCCTCTTCCCCACTTTACTCCAACTTCTCAGCCAAAGCGAGCTAGGGCTGGCCAGGAGCTTGCCTGTGCCTGGGTGTCTGGTGCCCTCTGTTCTCATTAGCTTTGCCTGGACAGAACCGCCCAGCTTCCTGCCTTCAAGCTTCAGGTGGGGCTCAGCTCAGGGAGAGCCTGGCCTGGGGCCTGGAGGGAGTCTTCTGGGTCCACTGCACCCCTGAAGGAACCCAGCTTCAGTTCTGGGACCTGAAAAAAACCCTGACTTTTTGGGTACTGGTATAGTCCTGGGCCCGACCTAGGGGAAACTCCTGTGACCACTGGACAGATGTGGGCCCAGCACCGAAAGGCTTGTTCTCATGATCAGCGAGGAAATGTCAAGGGCTGCTTGGGAGTCTCACCCACTCTTCCCGGGCCCATTTCCTGGTGAGGCCTGTCGGAAGCTATGCAACTGCTTTTCTGGCGGCTGGGGGTGATGGACAGTGGCTACATGATGACGCGTTCATAAGTGAATTAGGGGAAGTGAATATTCTGGCATCCCGGCCTGTCCCCTTCATCTCCAAGGTGTCCATCAGGGCTAGGGAATCATTCCACAAGCAGGCCAGCCCCTTCTAGAGGTAATGAGAGGTCCTGGCCACAAAGACCACTAGATGGCGCTCCAGTATTACCTAGGTAAAATGTTTCTGTTCTGTCCCAGGTGCCTAGACAGTCAGGTGCACCTCCTGAGAGCAAAGTCGTTGTTTTAAGGAAGTAGGAAATGGAGAAACACCAGGGAGATTTGTATCATGCGTGTCTGTCTGTCTGCCAGATTTCCCTCTGTCTTGACTGATGAGTATTTCTCCCCTTGACACACTCCACCAGAAAGCCCAAGACCAGACGGATCTGGATCTGGTACCATGCAGCTTCCTTGCCTCCTCCCCTGCCAGGCAGGAGAAACTCTTTGATGCCCTGGGATCACACTGGAGAAATCTCTTCAGCTGAGAGGCAGGGCCCCAAGCTCACCGTCAAAGTTAGCCTGTCAGGGTGGGACCCAGGGCCTTTGGACAGGGGAGCACAGTGTCCAGCTAAGGCCCAGGTCCTTTTCTATGACAGGAAGTGCAGGAGCAGAGCCCAGGCACACCACCAGGGGGACAATCAGCACGGACCATTTTAAAGGTCAGCCCACCAGGTGCTTCAGAAGGGCAATGTATGACTAAAGACAGCAATAAGATCAGCGACCAAGAAAAATAGTGCACACAATTATTGGCTTTTTCAGGGTTACATTTTATCTTGTTCTTGTGAGAAATGAGCTCAACCATTTCAGGGGCAATGCCTGGTTTGCCGCTCACCGCCAAGGACAGGCGACTCTAGGACAAGGAGGCACAGAGGGAAGACAGCACACAGGATAACTGACGCGTCCAGGTGGGATCGTCACTACAGTCATCTTTTGGAATTTCCTGCATGTTTTAAAACTGCTCCAAGACTGTGGGGGGGGGAAGAATCTGCCCCATTCATCTTTCTGGATGAGGAGATGGTCCCTTCCTGGAGAGCTGCTGCGGAGCCAGTCCTCCAAGCACGGCCGCTATCACTAGTGCCATGAGAGCAGTTGCTGTCACCCGCAGGAAGCCTTCAACACGATCCAGACTATAGAAGGAGGCGTGGGGAGGGCCATTAGATCTTGTCTGAGCTCCCAGTCACTCCCCGTGCCTGACCCGCACCTCAGCTGCATGCCACTTTCCCCAGGTGCAAGTGGTTTGGAAGATGCTGGAGTGCACAGGGCGTGGGGAGAACAGAAGGGGAGACGGCACGTCTCCCTGGTAAACAGCCACACAGCAGATGCCCCATGCAACCTGAGCAGCACAGCATAGATGGCAACAAGACGACCCCTGGCTGAGGCCCAAGTTGGTCTGTAGGGAGGAAGACACTTTCTGAGTCTGGAAGGAGGCGTCTGCATGGGCCGATGAGGCCGCTAGGGGACACTGGCCCGTGGATCACATTGCCGCCCCAGCTTCCCATGGAGTGTCCCTAAGATCCTGTCCAAGGGTCCCCCTTTTCCAAGGACACCAGCAGTGTTATGTTGGCACCCAGCTTACTCTGACTCAGGTACCCAAGTAAGGTGTGTGTGCTCTGATTCCAAAGTTGTTCAAGGAAGGTCATAGAGACAGCCTGTATGACTTAAAGGGGGCATATAGGATCCAAATGATTGGGGTCAAGTCTCTCTGGGGTTCTCCCCTGAGCAGGATGGAGGGTGATGTGACCACATGTGTCAGTGGCTGCCAGGATTCTGCAAGGGACCAGAAGCAGGGTATGTTCATGGTGGGGGTGAGCATGGGTACAAGGGACACCATGTGTCATTTGCTGGTGGAGACAAGTAATGCATTTGCCTGAACTTCAGCAGACATGGTACTGAGCATGAACCTAATGGACACTAAGGTTCTGGGCGATGGCACTATGTAGCTTCGAGCTTCGTGGGTTCGTTCCTTGTCCTGTAGGGTGCTGGGAATGGATCTCTGAGGATGGGGCTCTTAGTACCATCTCCGTATCTTCTAATTTTTGCAGCAAATCCAAAATAGCTCTAAATGTTAGTCTGAGAAAATGTTGAGAGAAGGACATGTGGCACTACAGGGACATTGTGCAGAGTATCTAACATACTGTAGTGCGGCCCCTGGCTTCATGCAGTGTTCAAGATGATTAAGCATTCAGGGTACCTTGGGTGGGAGCTTGTGGAAGCAAATGACCGATGAAGGGGCACCCGTTCCTGGGCAGTGGTGTGGCTTTGGGGGGGGGAGACAAGAATTTACAGGAACACTGACGTCAATGTTCGCTTCCTTCCCTCCATGCAGGTTATTAAGGGCCCAGGTCAAGCTCTGCAGGGCCTGGTAAGGAGGAGGTCTCAGCTGTTTTGGGGACAGGCCGGAGCCTCTTCTTTCCAAAGAGGCTGCTGAGCTCTGAGCTTCTTTCCTGGTTAACCCATCCCCCAAGAGGAAAGACAAACATCTTCGTTATCACACAGCTACAGGTGTACGGCAAACAAGGCCAGCACTTTTATTAGATTGAAGGAAACACAGAGACATGGGAGGGTGGGGGAGGCTCCGGAGGGACAGGGAGGGTGTTGGGCCCAGCATCACTGTCTTCATGAGCTGGGCTGTCATCCATGCTGGGAGGACTTGGCACCTCCATCCAGCATGAGGCAGCTTAGCCGGCACCGCAGACCAGGTACGGTGGCATCCCTCAGGGCTGCCCTCCTCCTGCCGAAGCGGCCCACAGGTCTGATCCCACGGCCTGCATACCAGGCTGGATTGATGTCAGGGGCTGGAGAAGAAAGAGTCAGGGCAGAACATGGGACACACAACACACAGGTGCAGTGTCCTCCACATGGAACCCCTAAGCTGATGGAAACCTGGCCACCAGGCCCTGGTGGCTCCCGACCTGACGAGACTGGCCAGGGCGTATCTGCGCAGTGGTGTGGCTTTGGAAAATTAATTTAGATCTATACCAGGAGCAATATCCCCTTCCTGTCCCTCTGCACCCCACCTCCACTCCCTGCCAGGTTCTTACGGGACCCAGACAAGATGGGTAGGGGCATGGTGAGGATGGGTAGGGGGACAGGACCATTCTGGGGAGAGGCCCATTTAACGGGATCTCATTACCAAGAGATCAACCTCCAGACTGAGCACGTGGCAAGGTAGCTTTGGCTTCAGAGACGGTCAAGTCCCATTCAGGTGCTGGGCACTCAGGGCATCTCGGGAGGGTATGGAGGGGAGGTCGAGAGAGGCTGCCCACCATAAGCCAGGCACTTACTTCGTGTCTCCATGGAGTGCTGGTGGGCTCGGCTGGAAGCTCCTGGGAGGACCAAGGCTAACAGCAGCAAGCACAGGAGCCACGCCCTCAGAGTTGCCATGCTTCTGACTTCCTGGAGATGGGATCGCACAGAGGATGGTATAGCCTGAGGGTAGACATGGAGGAGAGCATTGTATGCACAAAGCTGGGACCCTAGGTTGTGTATGCGGATGCACATGTGATTGGTACATGCATGTGCATATAAGGTATACAAATGCGTGTGTTTGGTGCACATAGCTACACTTCTCAGGAGAGGTGTGTGAGAGCTGTGCTCGGGTGGCTGTCATGGGACATTCTTGGCCTGTCTGTCCATCTGTGTGATGAACCGGGAGGTAGGCCCCCAGGTCTTGTTGGGGAGTAGGTTTATGGGAAGGCCTGGGAGCAGCAGAGATGGGGAATAATTTGCTCAACCTGAGAGGTAGTTAGGGGTTGGGACCTCACTGCCTGGTCCTTCTCTGCACTTGACCCAGGATCTCCTGACCCTGAGAACCAGGCAGGCAACGGAAGACACTTAGCATCCTCCATCCCCAGGGAGTGCACACCCCACAGTCCCCACAACAACCCAGGACTTCAGACCTAGCTTGCTGAGGTTCCAGAACGAGTCTGTGGTGCCTGCCTCTCCTCACGGAACCCTTTGGAGTGACAGAGTAGAGGGCTGCTGCGGTGTATGTGAAGGTGTACTCGCTGGAGTGCTCCTCTGTCCCCACCCCTGCTGTTTCAGACTCCATTAGAAGATGCTCCAGGCTTCATCTGAAGACCCTTTAGCTGGCCTTGACTTGCCAGCCCCTCACTGACCATGCAGAAAGAGCCGTCCACCAGAGTTTAAAATGCCCCTCCCTCCTCTTCACAGCACTGCTGGGGTGTCCCACACAGTTCATGGGAGCCCCAATTAGAGGTAACGGTGGTGCCGTCACAAATCGCTATAAAGACCTCATCCACTCAGGCTAGGTGATGGGTGCTAGTTGACCCTGGTTCCTGAGCCCCAGGAACCCGATCTCTAGAGCATTGCAGACCCGTCTGCCCAGTGTGCCCTCTGGGCTCTGCTTGAGAAGGTGACAGGTGTCCCACTGAGGGACACCTTCACCTGCCCTCCACCATGGACAGCCCTTGAGTGTCAGAGTCCCCAGGAGGGTGTGTGGTCCTGGACCACAGACCATGGGTAGCTCTCTCTGCTCAGTGCCTACACCTGGCTTCCCAGTAACCCCGACAGAGAATAGCCTTGCGGAGGAGCTGGCGGACACAGCAACACCCACCCTTCTAGAACTGCTGAGCTACTCACCTGCTGTCCCCTGAGTGTGGCGACAAGGCTGCCCGGGTGTGAGGTGAGGCCTGCCTGGCTGCTCACCTTTTATAAGCCAACAAGGAGGCAACGGACACCCCCGGGCCCCTCCTTGAGATGGCGTCTTTGCGTATAGCCCGCAGTCCCCAACTGCGACTCCTCCCTCATCAAGACACTGCGTCTTTCCTTTCTTTTTACCTTAAAAAAAAAAAAAACCTCTCATTCTCATCAGCGGTGTGATTTGTTCCTTCCTGAATTATATAATTTCATTTGGGCCAAGTGGCTTTAAAACACATTAACCTCCCCTCTTCATGCTCGCCTTTGGGCAGACTCCACACTTACGTATCTACCCGTCCTCTCAATGGGAGGCGGCCATCAAACTCAAATATGCCGTGTTCTGAATGTTCTTCTCTTTTCCTGCCTCACCTGAGCCGAGACTTCCTGGAATGGTGGCCAGGAAGGCCCCTCACACCCAGGTGGGTGCCTCCTACACTGGCTGTCCCCTCAGCTAGCTTATGAACACAGGGGTCTTTAGACACATTTCATCTATTCCATTCTGAGTCTATGACTTAGAACATGCCAAGTTCATTTTATTTTATTTTCTTATGAAACAAAGAGAAGCCTGGTGTTGTGGTATACAACTGTAATCCCAGCACTCAGGAAAGTGAAGCAGGAGGATGGGTCTGAGTTCAAGACCAGCCTGTCCCGATAAAACAAAACAAAAAACTGAAAACAAAACAGAGAAGGCTACTTCTGTGATAAAGAAAGTTTAAAGGTGGCATGCGGCAGGGTTCTATCTGTAATCTCAGCGCTGAGGTAGACAGAGCCTGGACGGAAGAGCCTCAAAGCTCATTGGCCAGTCAGCTTAGCCAAACTGAAAATGTCCAGGTTCTGTGACTCAAAAAAAGAAAAAAAAGAAAGAAAGAAAGTGGAGAGATGCTTGAGGAAGACACCTGGCTTTGATCTCTGGCCCCCACAGAAATGTGTACACACCCCACCCCCACACATACAAAACAAACCTTCTAAAAAGCAAGTTTATTTTGCGGTAAAGGCAATTTACAAGCAATGAGAAAGAAAATTAGCGCACTTCAAAATAGAGAAAAGAGCCCAGATATGTGAACAGGCCAGTGTTTTCACTTCGGATGTTGCCTTCTGGTGAGTTCCCTGTTCACAGGTGCGGAGCCTCGTTTTTCTTACCATCACAGCCTGGAGTTGTTAAAATACCTGTGGGTATATGCTGCCGCAAATGATCCTCTAAGATTCTGTCCTTTAACTTGGACCCGTCACCACCACGTCAAGAGTTACAGATTACATGAACTATCAATAGAACATTCTTGAAGGAACTATGCATGAGAAGAGACAAAGCAGTAGATTCCCTGGGATCATCATTTCCCGGCCACCACCAGACTTGTAGGAAAAGCTTCAGGCTGCCACTTCACCCTTCGGGGGCTTACTCGATCCAACATCCGTGTTCTCCAGGCATGGCTGCCTCTTCCTTGGAGTCGGGCTCTGGCTGGTGAACTCCTTGGGAGATCTGGTAGGAGGTGGGTATGGTAAGGAGCTCCAGGAGGAGGATGGCATAGACTGAAGATTAGGGTCACAGGGAGCGTTAAATGTTTGCTTGGTGCTTTGGGTCCATCTGTGGATAGCTCAGGCATTAGCAATGGTGATAGCCAGGCCTCCTACCTTGGTGAGAACAGTCATGGTGGGGTATGTGGGTCTTGTGGGAGATTTCCCTGGATGTGTGCTTAGTTCTAGGACCCAAGGGGACTGCTGTGACACCTTGGGAATGGGAATGAGTGTCCTGAACATCTTTGTGGGTCTGGGTCTCTCTCTCTCTCTCCTCTCTCTCTCTCTCTCTCTCTCTCTCTCTCTCTCTCTCTCTCTCTCTCTCTCTCTCTCTCTCTCTCTCTCTCGTGTGTCTAGGATCATGGGTCCTTTTTAGCAAAGTAGCTTTATCAAAGTTATCAAAGTGTAGCAGGGACACGTTGTCCCTTTGAGGTTCCAAATGGGAGTCAACAGGCAGGGCGGTCTCAGCCCAGTCTCCTCCTCACCCCACACTTGATGGTGCCAGGCAAAGGGTCTGCAGAATTGAGGGGTGCTTTGGGTGCCTGGAGATGTTCTAAAGGCAGGTGGCAAAGTGCAGGTAAGGTATGGCCTGTGTTCTTGCAGGGCCTCACAGAACCCCAGCTGCAGGCCTGGCCTGGGTACCTCAGAGCTGGAGTGGGTTGCATGGAGGGTTTGACCCCAGAGAGGTGTCAGGGAGCTTTCCCCACATCTTATTAATGGGCCATGGATCCTGGGACAGGAGAACCAAGCAAGGACTCTTGAACCAGCTTTGGGCACAGCAGAGGGAGTTCTCGCCCGACACAGGCCTGCTCTAGGTGGCCAACACGGAGGGTGTGCGTGGCCCTAAGTGACTGTCCCATATGGTCTGGGATGGTGAGCTGTGGCTGCCAGACTGGGGTAATCACAGAGCTGTAGCCAAAGAGACCATGGGACATCAGCTAGAATTCTGAAAAGTTACAGACAAAATGCAGAGCAGAGGTGCGGGGAGAGGCTGTGAGGGTGTGCCCCAGCCTCCTACTCCCCGAACCTGGACCGCTTGTGCCCTTGGGTTGCAGGAGAAAACTCTGTGCCTTTCCCCACGGTTGCACATGGATTTCTGCTCCTTGCCGTAAGCCCGCCCATTTGAGCAGGACTCCCTGGCCAGCGCCCCACCTCCTGGTCTTCCTCTGGCTTTCATCAGAGCCATGCGGACCCCAGTGCTTGGGGAACACTGCAGAGTTTTGAGGTCTCTGAACTCTGTATCTGCCCAGTTCACACCCATCTGGAGCATCATCAGGAAAGAGGGTCTTTGCAAGTGCATTGACTGCTGTGGCCATCTTCGGTAAAGGCCGCCCTGCATGCAGCAAACGGTGTCCTGACAAGAGGACAGCCGTTCAGAATCGTACAAGGCACGGGGACATGAAGATGAGGCTGGGGACTGAAGTCAAGGTGTCCTGGGATGGCTTCAGTCCCAGGAGGAGGAAGAGACACTTGCACCTTAGAACTGCAAATTCCATGGACACCTTGATTGGACTTTTGTCCTCTGAAACTCAGGAGGGCTCATTTCCTGTGGCCGTGGCTGGCTTATTTTGCAGTCCTTTGCTAGAAGGACGCAGGAAGCAAATGTGAGACTCCTGAGATGTCTCTGAGGCAGTGAGAAGTTTCTTCCTGAAGTCCATTCTCAGGGTACACTAGGATGTTTGTGGTTTTGGCCTGTGTGTTCTCTGGACTTCTGGAACATGACACAAGCCGATGGGGAAGAGGTAGCCCTGGCAGTAGGAGACTGCCTCCCACAGTGATGGGAAGGCTGTGAAGAGCAGACTATGCAGCCATGAGCAAGACTGTCGTCTCTGATGCACTTGGCTTTGGAAAACCTGAACTCTTGATAAATCCCAAAGCCGTCATTTATGTGAGCTAGAAGCCTGTGTTTAAAGCATGTGGTGTCTAGGAAAGTGAGATCTCTATGTAGTGTACCCCAAAAGCCTGTGTTAGAGACTTGGCCTCAGTGTGGCACTGCGGTTGGTGGTTACGGTGGTGGAAACTCTGGGGTGGGGTTGGACAGTCAGCGTTATGGCTCCTGTCTGTGACCCACAAGGAAACTTGAAGAACAAGGTCTATGAGGTGGGTGAGGAATCTAGCCCTCCTTGTTCACTGTCTGTAATGCGCACTCTCCCATCATCCCACAGACGCTCTTGTATCTGCCCCTCTCCCTCCCTCGCAGTCAGGAGTGTGAACAAGCCCAGGGCCTCCACTGGACCATCTCTTTCCACTACGTCTGTGAACGTGGCCCAACAAAGCCAAGAGATGGGTTAAGGGATCATAGAGAAAGGGTATCTGGGTGTTCCCCGGATAGAGAGCATCGTCTTGAGAGGAAAAAATCACATCCTTTTGTATCTCCCGGGTCAGAGGCTGGCAGGCGCCTTGGCTCTGGTCAGTGGCCTGTTGACAGCCGGAAGTCTGAGAAACTGACATCTCAAAGGTGGATCCACACAGGAAGTTCCTATTTTTCACCGGGATGGCGACTACGAGTAGTCGAGAGAAGGAGCACAGAGCCCATGGGGATGCGAGGCCATGTGGCGGGGTCAGGCGGGTGCTCTGTGGTACTCTTCTGTGCCATGAGCCTTCTCTTTCAGGGCTGCTGGGCCATCACAGGTTTCTGCAGAGCACAAACACACATTCATTTAGGTGTGCACATGGGTTCATGTGCAAAGTGTACATGCAGATGTAAAAATATACTCACAATTATGTGACAGATACAGATGTAACAGAGAAACATACACATATGCAGGTGTTCACACAGGGGCAGATATAGACACAGACTTAGATTATGTATGTACACATGCATGCACACATGTTGGCATGCACAGATATACATAGCAGAACATGCACATAGATATATCTGTGTGTATTCAGAGAGACATGTGCTGTACACACAGACACACACACACACACAGGGATGTATACTGACGCCCATGTGAGCATGCACAGAACACATGCCAGCATGTACATGGCACATGGGTACAGAGATAGACATAGACATAGGTGTATATGAGGAAAAACACATGTAGGTGTGAATACTTATAGACTCAATCTCAGGCATTCGAATGTACACACTGTACACAGGTACACAGGCAAGCCCCTGGTTCTGTGTGTTCATATGTGTACACACTACTCAGTTGCTTGTGTTTGCATTGCACTAGCGTTGGCTGCTTTTGTGTGTGTGTTCTGAGACAGGGTCTCTTGACACAGCCCTGGATGTCCTGGAACTCATTATGTATAGATCAGGCTGGCCTTGAGCTCACAGAGATCCACCTGCCTCTGCCTCCAAGTGCTGGGATTAAAGGAGTGCACCTCCATGCCTGGCTTCCTTGTTTTTTTTTGTTTTTGTTGTTTTGTTTTGCTTAACTTCTCTGTATCTCTGTTTTCCTATCCACTGTGTCCGTTTGAAAACCCAGAGCTTTCAAAGGCAGGGAGCTCCATTTGAAAGCCTACAGATGGTTAGGATTTAATTGGCAGGCATGCCTTTTGTTGTCCTCAGTTCTCCTTGAGGGATGACCACCTCCAGCTATAAGGCTCAGGCAGACCCATTACTGGCCTCAGTGTGGAGTATAGGGCATCCCCGCCCTAACACTCGCTGCCATGGGCATGCAGACTCCAGCAAAGGCCAGTTCCAACTTCACGAATGTCTTTCTCTTTCTGCGTCTCTACCTTGTGACACTCTGACCTTTACACATGGAGTTCATGACCATGAGAGGTCATGGTTAGTGTGAGCCCCCCAGTAGAGCCTATACACTGAGAGGACGGATTGGGGTACTGACTTCATTCTGTCTCCTGGGGAAGATGAGTTACAGGGTGTGGTGGGTTCCATCTCTTTCTGGAGCCTGGGCACAAGCTTGCCTGGCAGTGGCCTCTGCTCACTATGGTTTCTGCCCCAGGCTGCAGCTCTGCCAGAGATGAAGAAGGGAATTAATAGATGTCCTGGATTATCTTACTCAGTCCCATTCTGTACATGAGTTCACAGAACACAGGGGACAGTGTGAGCAGAGATTCCCAGGACACAGAGATAGTCTCTTCTGGAAAGGGCTCAGGAAAGCACCTACTTAGTGACAGAAGGGCTAGCTGTGTGCTTGAGGGATACACCCCTCCCGTTGTGTGAGGCCTACGTAAGCTTGATTAGTATTGGTGCTGGGTGTAGAATTCAGTTAAGACTTGCTTGATGAGCACACATTAAATTCTAAGTGACAGTAAAGAGCTGAATGGTACATGGAGACTTGTCCTTGGAGGAGATTCCATGATACAGAGCGACAGTGTTGTCATGAACTATGAACATGACTTATGACCTGTGCAGAAGGCTGTTGTGGGGGCCACATGCAGAGGACAATGGCTTGTGCCACTCTGATGTTGTGTAATGAAATACCTTTCCCTAGCTGTTAATATTTAGTCTAGATAGTAAGTAGATTCGGAAATACATTTTGAAAAAATACTTAGACCATTCCAAGAGAACCACTGCTTTCTCTGTGACATGGGTGACCAACTCCAGATCTTGTGCATGCTGAACAGACACCCTGCCACTTGCAGCCCAAGGCAACTTTTAAAGAAAACGGTAAATTTGTAGCTCAGTCTTCTTGGCCAAAGCTTGAAGAATTAGCCAGGAAGGTCTCTTCTCACCCTTGAAACTAGAAGTAAGCTGAAATGAATATTGGGCTGTGTTGGTAAAATGGGGGTAGGGAGAGGTGAGGGACAAGGATTGGCATAGCTTGGATGTAGTGTGTCCCTTGAGGTTCATATATTGGAGATTTGGTACTGGTGTGGTACTGGACCTTGATGGGTGGGGCTTAGCAGGAGCTCTGTAGGTCATTGGGGACCTTGGGAAGGATTAAAGACATTCTCTTGGGGTCCAGTGCATTCTCACTAAAGCATGGGGGTAGGGAGATGACTCAGTGGTTAAGAGTGCTTCCTGCTCTTCCAGAGGACTCCAGTTTGACTCTCAGCACCCACATCCTGGAGGCTCACAACCCCAGCTCCAGGAGATCCAATGGCCTTTCTGCTGGTGCCCACATACATGGCACATGCTGGCACATACTCACACAGACACTTTTTAAAGTCTGCTTCTGGCCCCTGTGACTCCTGAATGGTTCTCACTCTCCTGTCTGGTGAAACCATCTCTCCTCACTGATGTTCCCACCATTACGAGCCTCTGCTAAGAGGTGATGCGGGCATTATGTCCTTGAACTCTGCAGAACCCCGAGTCAGGTAAGCCTGTTTTCTCTGAAAGTAGCCTGCCTGTCTAATGTCTCATTGCAGTAATGAACATTGGACTAAAACAAGGTGTGTTTAGGCCCTGATTAAGGGCACTTGTCACCATCACCATGAGTATCTCCACTAAAACGGCCACAATCTTGTTGTCTGACAGGTCGCAGTGTCACGTCTGAGCGGAGCCACTGGGCATGCTCCTGGTCCAGGCAGAGGCCTAGGCAGTTCAGTTGTCCTTGTGCCCAGTGCTTATGTTGATGAACTGAAGGCCTCAGGGGTCAAATGAAGGTCTTCAGGGTCCACCCTCTGGCCCTGCCTGGCCTGAGGGCTCCCTGGAGAGCAGCCTTGTAGCTTCTGGATTGGCCCCTTTCCAGACCTGAGCCTGCCCCCTGTGCTTAGTGACTCGGCCATTCTCTCCTTACTGTACCCAGGGCACTTTAAATAAATGTTTTCTGTTCTCCCTTTGCAGATTGATGGTTACACCCGCCTCCCACCAATCTTTCACTCTCGACTTGGAATAAAAACATAAAGCTGACAGGTCACACGAGGAGAGGAGACATTACCGCGAAGATGTGTCTGGCTGTTCCTCTCCTCCCGTTAGGGTTCCTCTGTGTCAGTGAGCCACGGTACACTGATTTCCGGTCAAAAGAACCACCGTCTATGCCTTTGGGAAAATAGAGGGGAGGACTTAATCATCCAAAGGATCCAAATGAGTTCTTATCTACCTCAGACACTGGACAGCACCATCGACCTGGACATGCGCTCTGTTGAGAAGCTTCACCCTCACCCTGTGACACACTTTGCAAGGAGTACTCAGTGGTTGTGTGATTTCCATCCAGAATGCTTCTGCCTCTTTTAAGAGGCAGGCTTGCCAAGAAAGGAGGCAGGGCTAGTAGGAAAGGGGTGGGGCCAGTGGCCAGGAGGCAGGGCCAAAGCTTCCAGGTCTCTGCCTGGAGCTGTGTCCCTTTTCTCTGTGGCCCTGGAAGAATAACAGGGACTTAGGACACTTGGGTCAGGGGCACATGTGTCTTCTACTATGTCATTTTGTGACAGGACAAGGGACCTGAGAGGTGCTGGGACACCGATCCTCAGAGTAGAACTCTTTTAGGCCTGTGACTGCAGAGTTGAGGGCCTTGGCCTCCAGCCTTGACCAACGGCTTGTGTTTAGGTGAGGGGGTGGATGAAAACCTACACCTGCAGGGCTCAGGTGGGAGTCTCTTGACTTAGGGACGTGGGGTTGACTGATAGTACTCCAGAGTCCTGATGATCTCTCTAGACCCATAGTCAATGATGTGCTACACATCGGACTGTGCCTCCCCTCCCCTCCCTTCCTCTTCTCTTTCCTCCAGTCTCCTTCCTTCTCCTCCCCTTCCCTTTCTTTTCTTTCCTTCTCTTTCCTTCCCCCTTCTCTCTTTCCTCCCTTTCTCCCTCCCTCCCTCCTCCCTGCTTTCCTCTCTCCTTCCATTTGTTTTTTGAGAGCTGACTTATAGACACACAGCTGCGATATTATTCCATTCCCAGGAGGGTGCATTCTAAACGTACATTCCGTCTCTGGAATGTACAGCACCGAGTGGAGGATTCAGTTGGCTCTGGAGCCCTATGGATTGAGCCCTGAAGACCTGCCATGGTGCTATGCTGGCCCTGGAAGCCCAGTGATGAGCCACCTTGGCCACAAGCTAGCACTGAGATGGTTAGAAAAGAATAGGAAAGGGACACTCGGCCTGCAATGGCCTGGCAGGGGGATGCTCTGGCTTTGGGCTGAGTGTGAGCAGCCTCTTGGCGGGACTTGAAACCAGTCACAAAGAGGACTTGGGGCACCCCCCCCCCCCCCCCCGTCTTCTTGCTGCACACACTTCTGTGTTTGGAGGTTGGCAGCAGCTGCCCTTTAAGATTAAACCATGGCACTCCAGAAGTCCCCAGATTTCAACAGTAGCTCCTTATTTTAAGTTAACCCTGACTCTGAGGGCCTGGGGTACCAGCAATGATCTTCAGGGGAACCGGATGTGTGCTGGGATCTCCGTGGATGCAAAGAGGATTCTCTTTCTGGCTCTGCTTCCCACCTGACAGGAGGAAAGGACCCTCCTTCGCCATACACTCCCACCAGTGTGCTACCCGAGCGCATGGGGGAGGCACAGACTCGACTCTCTGAATCCGCAAGCCAGAATAAATCATCATCCCTTTGAGTTTCTCAGCAAGAATGTTCACAGTGATAGAAGTAACTGGGGCACTTCCGTGTGCCCAGGACAAAGCTGATGTCGCCATCACAGGGAGACTTCAGGGTCTTCTAACTGCCTCATGGTCCCTGCTTTCTGCAGGGACCGCTTATACTGAAACCATGGAAACGCTAGTACTACCAGCATTGCTTGCACTAGCTCAAAGCCACCCAGGACACCACACGTGGCCCTGGGGTGGCACAGGGGCCTTTTTGGGTGTTCTGCAGAGACAGGGCCCAGGGTGGGTCCCATAGGCTGGGGAGGAGTGTGCAGAGCCTGGCTGGCTGCCCTCCTCCCCTGAGCTCATTTCTCAGTAACAACCAAGCAGGGAGTGGAGCAGTGGCTCTTACCTTGACTGCTGGGAGAATTCTTCCCCCTCAGGAGATAGGACACGGCCGCCGCCTAGGAGGAAGAGAACATCCCTGGGCATTCCTGAAGTGTAATTCGAACTCATTTTGGGCTTTTAAAAATTCTGGTTTTAGTTACCAAGTTCACCTGTTTTCTGTTCTCTGACAAATACTCAGACTCTTAATATGGGACTAATGCATACTATCTTTAAATTATGCACCATTGCCTGTGTGGAAGAGCAGCCAGGCACTGCCTGCTTTGGGTGGCGGGTTGGAAAGGGTAGGGACCTGGGTTCGAATCACAGTGCTGTTGCTTACTGCGGTATGCTAGAACTCATCCTCCGTGAACACCACTCTCTTCCTTTGTAACACATCAACTCACAACCGTGGATTGTGCTCCCAGTGGCTGTTGCTCCCCCTCCCTTCTTTCCACGTGACCACCTCTCTACGATACGCTAAGACATTCGTTTTCTGTCTGACCTTTTCAGGAGTGGAGGCAGCAGACAGCCAGCCCACTTGCCGCAGAAACATTCCCCACTGTCTGGGAAGCTCCAGTGTGTCTGGACCCAGGGCCCAGCTATGACCCCACACATTTGGCCTTGGCCAGGCACCCACCTCCCTGAGTGGGGCTCATGTGCCACTATCACAGGGTGTCACCGTCCACCCAACCAGGTTCTGTAAGGCAGGAAAAGACTGGACAGAAACCAACAGCACTCGGAACTGACAAGCTGACAAGTGGCTGGACTTGCCCTACGACACTCAGTGGGTACCTGGGCCAGGGTAAGCAGGACCTGGAGCAGGCTTGGAGACAGCACCCCAATCGTGTTCCTAATATCCCCTAGACACATGGAACTTTCTCCTCTCAGGCATCTCCTTCACCCACACCCCAGCAGAGTATCTCCCCTGTGCTGTTCTTATCCTTGGACCGTTTTCCCATACAGTGGCTCCCATGTGTTTTCACTCCCAACAACCGGCAACCGTGCCTCTCAGACACAGGACAGGGCACAGGTTGCCATGCCAGTGCTGGGTGGCAGAAGTGTTCAGAAACACATGTGGCTCTAGAAAGACCCTTGCCCAAGACTGATAACTACAGAGGGATAAAAGCTCCAGCCCCTGAGTAGGATAAGTGGGGTGTCGTGACATCCTTGTCCCCAGAGATGCTTAAAGAACTGAGCCAGGGAACCTAGGTGTGCTTGATGGGAGCCCCTCCCACCCATGCCCCCACCTCTGCATCTTGCTGGGATCTCTGGGATTTCCCCATTAGGTGCTATCCTAGTCTCCCACCACACCCCTGCCAGTCTGAGGACCCTCCAGGCATTGCTGAGCTGTTGGGTCACTCTCCACACGCTCCCCTGCACTTGTTCCTCTGAGGGAGTTGCCTTGGAAGGCGGTGGTGGAGAGTACCTCGGGCACCTTGGCTTGGTCCTTGGGGTCTGCAGAGGGGTCCTTTGGGATCCTGTCAAGTTTCTCGGTAACCCGGGGAAGAAAGATCTGGAGGCCGAGGAAGAAATATGTGTTATCATCTTGTACCATGTCACCCAGCGCGGGAGTCAAGCAAGGCCGGCACAGTGCAGGGCAGTGGTCCCTGTAGATAGCGGTGAAGCATGCTGGGACAGAGCACGACGCTACGCCCCACCCTGTTACCACCTGGGGCTCTAGACGATGTTGAGGAATATTTGTTACATTTGTCCATGCTGCATTTGTAAGTCTGTAAAGATGTGTTTCATTTGCCTTAGTTGAATAAAATTAACCTGTGCCCAAAGAGGTGGGGTAAGCAGCTGGTTGACAGGAAGTAGCAGGGAGGGGCTTAGCATGGTTGTTCTAGTTGGCACCTGGTATGGAAGGGAGTGGCTTCTGGGATGATGGCAAAGAGAGAACATTGCTACTCTAACTGTCTGAGCTCTCAGGTTTTCACCCTAGCCTTTGAATCTTCAGTTTTATTAGAATGATAGAGATTTAGTTAGAACTACCTTTAATGGCAGCATAGGGCTATTGTCTGGGGGAACAGAATTCCCCCTAGGCCATGGCTGGGTGCCAGTAGTTTGAAGCTGTGATGAAGGGAAAATTACAAAGCGAGGCTGTGGACTGAGCAAATTAAATACACTTCCCAGTTAGCTTTCTATTTTAGATACCAACAGGCAGTTTCCTGCCATAGTATGGACTTGCGGTCCCATGGGGGATAGATACTTACGTAGGAAAGCCACTTGTTTGTTTATTTGTTTGTTTGTTTATCTGAAACGCCACATTGGCTGGTAAGCATTTCATCACTAACCTTCCCTAGGGGCACTGCAGGTCATTCTTTGTTTTTCTACCCTGATAGCCCCAGCATGGCGCTCTCTCTATCTGAAACCCGTGATTGGGCTTGGGGAAGGGTGCTCGGTTCTCCCATCTCCAACTGGCAATTTAATGAAGTCCTCTGTCACCAGATGAGGCTTGACCACCCACAGGCTGGGATCGCCCTTAGGGAGCTTTGTGTGACCGTGCTGCCCCTACATGTGGGACCGAGAGAAAAACCTCGGGTGCCGCTCCTCAGATGCTATCCACCAGTATTCTTATTTTTTTGGAGGTAGGGTCTTTTACGCCCCAGGCTTGGGCGTCTGACCAGTGAGTCCCAGGGTCTTCTGGTCTATGTTCCCAGCCCTGGGATTACAAGTGTGCACCAGCACCACCATGCCTGGTTCCCTCTCCTGAGTTCTGGGGACTGAACTCAGGCCATCATGCTTGTGTGTCAGGCACTTTGTGGGTCTCCCATCTTCCCAGACTATAAGGAGGTTTTTGAGTTTTTTGTTTGTTTTCAGTTTCAAAGTAATGAATGATTACAAAACTCCTATATGGGTCCAGCTCACCAACTGGCTGTGGGAAACATGATTGGCAGCATCAAAAAAATTAGGGCTTTTACTCCTGGGTTACCCAGAGGCCCTCGTGGGGCACTGTAGGCTACTGAGGAAGTCCCGGGGACACGGACTTGGTGCTCCACACTTCCGCCCGACTCACTGGGATGTTTGACTTTCTCCGGGGTTTTCCTGAGGGTTTCACTGTGAGTCCTGCTGCCCTCAGAGCTGCAATCCTGGACTCGATGTCTGAGACCTAGAAAAGGGAGGTAGACAGACAGATGTCACTCAGCGTCCAATCTCAGATCATAGAGGTCAGAGGCACAACTATAACCTTGCCCTGGGGTCTTTCTCTCTTCCTCCCCGGTTCTAAGAGTCTTGAAGGATGTCTCAGGGTGCTGTGCCGTTTCTGGAGGCACATCTGGAAGGCTGTGAACATCTGGAAGTATGGTGTGTGTACTGGGGTGGGGGAGTGGGGGTGGCGTGGATCAGAGTGGACTAATCTGACTTGAGTAATCCTGACCTGGCCACGCCCTTCTGCTGCCACCAGAGCCATCCCTGCTGTGTCCTGAGTAATCCTGACCTGGCCACGCCCTTCTGCTGCCACCAGAGCCATCCCTGCTGTGTCCTGAGTAATCCTGACCTGGCCACGCCCTTCTGCTGCCACCAGAGCCATCCCTGCTGTGTCCTGAGTAATCCTGACCTGGCCACGCCCTTCTGCTGCCACCAGAGCCATCCCTGCTGTGTCCTGAGTAATCCTGACCTGGCCACGCCCTTCAGCCGCCACCAGAGACACCCCTGCCGAGTTTCTCATCTCTTTGGTTACCCTCCCACAGAAGCCAGAGGAAGCATTCTAGATGCAGAAACCAAGTTAGCTGCCTCCTCCTGCATTTCTTTATAGCGTGGAGTTAGGAACTGAACTCATGCTGAGCGTGGGCTGCACCACTGACTCACACCACCAGTCACTCCCCTCAGTTTACCTCTGTGGTCCCCAGGGCTCTCCTCCATCCACCATCCTCTGGAACGCTACTCCCAACTTCCCCATCACTGTGTTTGGGTCTTGGGATTTCACAGCCGGTCCATGAGCTTACTAAGCTTGACACCACCCCAGCACGGTCGCTCATTCTGCTCTCTCAGCCTGGACTCTGATCCCCTAGAGCAGCAGTGGCTCCCAACCTTCCTAATGCTGTGACCTTTTAATACGGTCCCTCATGCTGCGTTAACCCCCAACCATAAAATTCATTGCTACTTCACAACTGTAATTTTGCTACTGTTATGAATCATAGTGCAAGTATCTGATATGCAGGAGATCGGATATGTGACCCCCCCCCCAAGGGGTTGTGACCCATTGGCTGAGAACCACTGCCCTCAAACTTCTGCGCTGGAATCTCTTCAGTGTCCCTCCCGCCACCTTCTCTAAGCATGCCTCCCTGGGCACTCTGGGACAAACCTCCATATTGTCCTCGGAGCTATTTCATGATGTAATGATTCTGTTTGTTTTCACTTTTCCCTTCTGTGTCTCCTCCCACAAAGACTCTCAGCTCCCCGGGGGCAGGACCTTGGGCTCAGGTCTTCACAGCTGTCCCTTTTGTGACCCCACTCATGTCAGCCATGTTTTAGAAGGGGACCCTTGAAGAGAAGGCCTGGGTCTGCCTGGCCCCTTGGACGTGGGAGGTGCTGGCTCGCACCTCCTTTCATTGGGCACTGGTGACCACTTGCTGCTGAGGGTAGGGACACTGCCTGTTCCCATAGCCTGGGTGCAGACCTCTTTTCTATACTGTCTCCAGGAGGAGGACACTGCAGTCCCAAACTGTACCTGGGAAGCCTGTACATGCTGGCTTGGCCTGGACCTGTGCACTGTTGATGAATCTCTCCCCGGACCCTAGCTCTGCAGTCACTGCTCAGCCCAGGGAAGTCCTCTACCAAGTCCAGTTGTGAGCCCGGCTGTCCTAACCTCAGCCTGTGTCTAGGCTCTGCTCATAGGATGGGAGATAGTGACAGCATGTACCTTTTCATGGCTGACACATTGCTTGCCTGCACTCCCAGGTTGAGCAGCGAGTGGAGAAATGGAAAGAACCCCCCAAACTTGCACTCTGCCCATTCCTGGCTGCCAGGGAGGCCTCTGCGAGCCCTTAGGTAGGCTGTTGGATTCCCAGAGCTTTGACTGGGTCCCATCACCAGGACATTGTTATCTGTGGGGGAATTCTGTCCAGGGGGGTGTGAGGTTACCTCACTTTCAGACTGCTGAACTTCAGAGGCTGTCATGGCCACTCTGTCCTCCATCTCTGACAGTGCCTCATCTGTGCTCATTGTAGTCCGTGTAGGGTTCCCAGGCCCCTGAGGGCTCCTTCCCTGTGTCTCCATGTGCCCTGTGTCTGTGCACACCTAGGGACAAGAAGGGTGACGGTGGTCATCCATGAGGCAGAGGACTGCCTCACTGCTGAGTTCCCATGGCTGGTCTCCAATCTCGTAACCTGTGTGCTCTTATCAAGCCCCCCAAAGCCTGTAGCTAGTTAGCTGCCCTCCATGATAGGTTGGATGGCTACCTGGGACTGTCCCTGCCCTTTTCCTGGGAATGTAAGTGAGACCTTACCTCTGGGGACATGGCATGGAGAGTGCCACCTGACTTGGTCTCGTCCTCTGATGAGGTGCCAGGATCACTGATGTTGCTGGTCAGCTCTTCTAGTCTCCTCCTGAGAGCCTCCTCCTCCGTGTCGTCTGCACTGGGGTATGATTCCACAGCTGGATCCTGATGGGGCCGGGTGGGGCGGGGGCTCAGAGGCAGCTTGGAGAGGTGGACCAGCCTGAGAAGACTCCAGTACCCATTCCTGTTTAAGACCCACCCTTTGCCCCGCTTCCTCATCCCCCCAGATGCCCACCTGGGTAAAATGGGCATGCAAAACGTTTTGTCTCACCATTTTAAGGCACACAGCTTTGATTTTCATCATGCACCCAGCACCGCCCTTCCCCACGGAACTCTCCCCTCTCCCTATACTGAGACTCCATCCCATGACACACTCACTCCCATTCTTCTTCCTGTCCTAGGCATCCCTAATTCCTTTCTTCCTGAATCTGACCTTGTTGGACTCCTCGGCTGAACAGCACCACGTGGTCTGCTCTCGGGAGCAGCTCATTGCACTTAGCCTAAGTTCTCTGAGCTGACCCATGTTGTCAGGAGGAAGAACACATTGTAAGGATGACCCATCAGACCGCAGGGTTTGGACAAGACACTGAGCTTTCTTTGGGGGAAGTGCTCCTAAGTGGAGGACACCTCCTCCCTCCACTGCTCTCCCCCCCCAGCCCTTCCATTCACTGTCAGTTCTGATCCTATGTTCATGTATCCAAACTACAGCCCTGAGCATTTGGCTGGGGCTCGCAGGGCTGAGGGCAAGGCTCTCTGGTTCACCACACTCTCCCTTTGCCAGACTGGGGTGTGTCACAATGGTGTTATCTCAGCACTGTCTAGAGAGTCTGAGTTCCCATAGGGTTCTGGGGTCTATCCTGGACTCCCACAGCAACAAGGATCCTCGTATTTTCCAGTTATTGTGAATTCAGGGACAAAGTGAGGGTACCACTCCATATCTTCATGTAACTTTTGCAGCAGGGACTAACTCCCTCAGGCCAACATCAAGTCGCTGACACAAGAAAGAGAAGGTGACAGTGTGTGGTGACTCTGTGGCATCATCCTTCATAGGTGAGTCCTCTTGAGTTCAGACCAAAGGAGGCAGCCTGCACAGGTCCTATCTCTTTGTCTTAGATGATATTTTAAGGACCCAGAATATCTATTTGCTCCAGCTGGTAAAAAAAAAAATAGTCCAAGAAAGCCCACGTGAGTGCCTCAGTCTGGCTTTGGACACCAGACAGTGACCATTTCTTTGCTGCTTGAAGCTACTCTCCAACATGATGTACTTCAGCCACAGGTCCTGTGAGTGGCATTGTGATTTCAGTGAAGTTGGATCATTGGCAAGAATGATGTCACCACGGCCAGAGGGATGCTGCACATTTATCCTGGTCTGTCCTCGACTTAGGGATGGGGAAGAGGTGTGAGAGTCATGAGTTTCTTTAGTGAGGTAGTGCCAGCTGGGGATGGTGGTCCAGCTTCAGCACCCATGGTGTCTACATCTGGATGAAGATTCATCTCACAGCAGTTTATGTGATACCTACCCATTGTGTATCACCTTGTTATTGGCCATGGATGGCTTCATGTGGGTGAGCTATGTAGGACACCTAATATATCCATCCTTCGAGTACTGTAAACCAACCAGCTGCAAGATCTCTGAGACACTTCCCCTGAGTTATAGCTGGGACTTTAACCTTCCTTAACGGAGGGTTGTGTGGGCTGATCTGCTATAGCCCAGGGTGTTACCTGGGCTGAGGGTGGCAGTACCGCATTCTCCAGGTGGACCAGCAGGTTCTCCACAGCTGACATGCGCTTGTTCAACTCCAAGATCTGCAGCAGAGGGAGAGGAGCAGCGGTCTGGTTATAGTGGAGGACCTCAATGCAACTCACACCAGCACAGATTCTTCCTCCTGAAGTCCCATGTCCGGCTGTGACGTGACCCTGGAGGTTAACTGTGAAACCAGGCCTTTCTGACACCAGGGGCACTGGAACCCAGAAAGGGGGTGAATGGGATGGGATGACCCTGTAGGAGAGATGAGAAACCCAACCGGATACCAAGGCAGCTGAGAGAGGTGACCGTGTCTGTCACTGGGCAGCTCCTGCCACTCTCCTGGCTGGTCATCACAGGAAGAGGTGCATTAAGTTGGACATGGTGACCAAAGCCATTAGGTAGCAAGAGTCCTGGGTCACTTGTGACCCCAAGCACAGCTTCCTAATTCTTTGAATCACCAGACTCTTGAGTCAGCTAGTCTATTAGCTCCCAGACAGAGCCCGGAAAATCAATTCCTCTTTGCTTTGCGTCCTTGCAGGCGGCCTCTCTGTCCCGCATTATCTCATTTTCCGCTCGCCTGGCCTTATGAGAGGGAAATGACACGCACAGGGGTGGGGAGCTGCCATTGTTGGTGGGTAATTAGCACAGCACGGAGGACTTGGAGTGGAGGAAGACTGCTCGCTGGAAATGTCAACACAAGTGTCTGTGAGTTCTCTGCACATGCTTGCCCTCGGTGGCCAGCCATCGACTGAGGGTTCATGTGGCCTGGCCCATTTGGTGCTGGTTATGGTGACCAGGATCAAGATGCTCAGTAGGTTGCTCAGCACATGGCCTTTGTCTGCTGGCCCAGGAGGCACAGGTGGGGACTTGGAAAGAGGAAAAGCCATTCAGCGTCAGTACTGTCATTGTGAAGGCCACATGGAGTGAATAAGAAAGGACGCCGCTAAGGAGGCTGGGAAACTGGGGCTTAAGAGGAAGTCAGAGCCTGGGAGGGGCCTGCAAAATAACAGATTGGGCAGTTGGCTCAGAGGGCTCAATGTGACTTTCTGGGGGGGGCCCTGTGGAGAAGTGGGGACCACCAGGTCAGTGAGACACACAAGGAACACAGCCAACTCCATCTTCTGATGAGAGCCACTGGTAACTTTGCAGACAAGCTCTCAACACAGAGGGTCTCATGAGGGACCATGGTTTCTATTTTGCCACAATGGAGGCCATCACAGGAGGAGGAGGAGGAGGAAGAGGAGGAGGAGGAAGAAGAGGAGGAGGAAGAAGAAGATGAGGAAGAGGAGGAAGAGGAAGAGGAGGAGCATTTTCCCTGTGGAAAATAAAAGACCTGTGTGCAGCAGGGACACTGTAACCCAGCACTTGAGAGTTTGAGGCAGGAGGATGGCAAACTTAAGACCAGCATGAGCTATAAAGAGAGTGCCTGTCTCACAATTCCAAGGGTTGAGACTGTGTGTGACTCAGTGGTAGGGAGCTCACATAGCATGCTTGGGGTCCTGGGTTCAATCTGGATTCCTCCCAGCCTCTCATGTCAGAATTCCCTCCACTAACCATTTCCGGTGTGTGTACCTTCATAGCAGGTTAAATAAGACCTGTTCAGGTTCAGAACAGGCATAGCCCTTTTGAAATGCAAGCATCACCATCTCCTGAAGGAAGCAGCAGGCTGAGAGGGATCTAACCCTTGCTTGAACATGGAAATCTATCTCTTGTCTTAAAGACTGGGGACACAAGTCTCTGTCTAAATTAACACAGATTATATGACTGTCTCTTGGGGCCTCTGCTTTCAATTTGGTGACCATATGATAAAAATTAATTGTAATTCTGTGTTTTCACAGAAGAGCCAGGTGGTAACTATATTTTAAATTTCTTCTTAGAGATGGATTCTGGATATGCAGCCTAGGCTGGTTTTGAACTTGAAATCCTTCAATGCCTGTCTCACAAGTCATATGATTAGCTACCATGCATGACACTTTACTCTTCCTTCCTTCTCTCCTTCCTTCCTTCCTTCCTTCCTTCCTTCCTTCCTTCCTTCCTTCCTTCTTTCCTTCCTTCCTTCCTTTCTTCCTTCCATTGTTTGTTTCTTTCTTTTAACATTTTGAGGAGCTGAAATACTTAGTCAGCTGTATGTTATACAAATCGACTCCAATAAAGCATATACATTGACAAAGCTCTATGACACAGACAATTTCATGTCAAAAAGTCCTGAAAGCATCAACTTCTCTAAAGTGACTTGGTGTGAAAGAGGAAAAAAATCTGTTCAGAGAAGCGTAGAGGTGGAATTCTCTCAAGCCCCATTACATTACCTGTGAGTCGGGCACAGCCCGGGCCCTCCTCTTGGAATGCTGGGAGGCTGCCCTGGGATCCTGGAGACTGTCTTCATCAGAGGTGTCCACATCAGCCAGGTACTGTGAGGGGAGCTGCTTGCTTTTGACACCATCTATCCCATTGGACAAAGAAGGGGTTTGAATGGAGTGAAGGACCAAGAGCCCGGGAACACGTTTGCCCCTTGCTTGTGCCTGGTGCTCAGCGGGTCCCACCCTGTACCGTGAATCCTGTCCAGAAACTTCCTGAGTGACACTGCAGTCCCTCCAACACAGCCTGGGGAGACCCTGTTCCAAGGATGGCCCAAACCCAGCCCATACTCTGACTCCCTGTGAGATCACACTTGCCATTGTTAACTTGGGGACCATTTATCATCAACACATGTGACTATCTTATTTAGTCCCTACAACTTCGAGGTGAGATAGAAATCACTGCTTTTCCTAGCAAGGACAATGAGGGTCTGGGAAGCCATATGACCCGGCAGCCTACCATATTATGTCCCTGATCTTGGGTACAGCCTGCCTGGGTTCCATTCTTAGAACCTCCCAAATACAAGGGCCTTTGCTTGGCATTGCTGGGTCTTTTGCTCCTGGCTTGCCTCTCCCACATGCTCCAGGGTCGTGCCATCATGGGATCATGGGAAGAAATATAAAGTCTTACCACTGACTGGACAGGCTTATTCACTCATAGTTTTGGGAACAAGCGAAACCCCACTTACATCCCTAGGAACCCAATCACTGCAAGGAATATGCAGCTGTAGTCTCTAAGGACCAACAATAAGGAGGCAGGGGCAGACAGGTCTTCCTGAAGCAGTTGCAGGGGTGGTGATGGAAGGCGTGGTGCGACTGTGACCTCATTTACTCTAATTAAATCCGTGTCTGAACTGCTGAACTGGGCACAGCAGCACCCTTGGGCACAGGGAGAGGCATCCTTGGGGATTCCACTTGGAAGGCTAAACTGTCTGATAGAATCTAATGGAACCAGGTTCCTTCTCTTGCTCTTTGTCCCCTGATGAGTAGCTACAGGTCCCTCTGTGATCTTCCAGTGTAGCTTTGGACTTGGTGGAACCACAACCGTTTTGAGGACATTGACATGTCCCTACCCTATGCCAGTGGCTATGGACTGGGGATGGCTTAGTTTCTTTCTTGATAGTTCTAGATATCACAGGGAAGCGCAGAGCCCAGGGAGGAAAGGGTCTATGAGGTTTGCTGAAGGACAGTTGCCCTGAAAGAATTAGCCAGTCTGTCTATATAAACTAGGAGGAGGGGCTGACTTCTTGGGGACTCCTACCCTCAGAGCCCCTCTGAAAATTGATTGGCTAGAGTACCCACCAGGCATAGCCGTGGTCCCTAGGAGCATCTTGGAGGATGCTCCCGATGGGTCCAGCTCAGTGTGAGCATCCTCTCCGGAGGGCAAGGGGCTATAGGGCTGCTCTTCTGGACCAGAGTGACACCCCAAAGCCCCTGCATCAGTATCCTCCAGGCCCTTGGGCTCCAGAGAGGCGGTGTCCTCAGAGCAGGGCTCGCCTGAGAGGGACTGAACACATAAGCCGTCAGCTTTGGCTGCTGCAAGGGTGCTGCCTGAACACTACACAGCCATCTGCCCTGGCACAGTTTCCAAACACTGTGCCAGGAGCATTTCCTGCCCTTCTGCCTCATGTCTGTGACACGAGGGTTCCCCAGGACACGGTGCCCAGGCATCACCCAGGAGACAGAAGTATTTCTGAGTAGTTGGGGGCCCAGGCCTCACTCTGGCTGGAGCCATGAAAACATTCCTGCGAAGATTTTACTTCCTTCTTGGGAGAGAGGACATGGTTACTGTGTCTGCTTTAGCAGTCCCTGATGGGTCAGAGGGTCAAAGGTGGAGGTGAGGTTTCCTGAGCAGACTGTCTCCAGGCTGAGGGGTCTGCTTAGTGCCACTGTCCCCAAGGGGTCTGTGTATTGTGGGCTCCCGGAAGCCACTGCCCCAGCATCTCTATAGTTTGACCTTGGCTGGTGGAGTGGCATGGGTTCTGGGGGAAGGGGGAGTCGGAGGAGCAGGGCCTATGGCCCAATGTCCCTTAGGGACTGGCTTCTGGGGACCCCACTCTTTGTGGGGATCAGAAGCCCCAGCTGTACCTAGCTCAGTCCAGAACTGTCTGAGTCCAAGAGATACTTGTGGGCTCACAACAAAACTGACCTTATGCTTACAACTGTTTTTTTATTGCCCATCTGTGTGTTTCATGCATGCTGGGCATGGACTCTCATCTCAAAATCAACCCTGGCCTTCTTCCAAAATGAGCTGATAAGATTTCAAAGAATTTCCAAGGACCAAGGTCACATAGCTTAATGAGCAGAGTGTAGTAACGGCAGTAATTTTTACTCACAAGATCAGCCTAGTTTGAACAATGAAGTTCAAGATGTCTTTCTTGGTAAGGCACAGGTGTAGCTCAATGCTAGGTCTTGTCTGACTCCTTAGTGGATGCCATTGTACATTCTGCTCTCCCAAGTCCTTATTTCCAGGCTGAGCACCAATCCTCATATCCCGGCCCCCAACTCACCCACCCGGCCTTAGTTCCCACCTACCCCACCCTCTCCAAGTGTTTGCTCCATGTCCTGAAATGCTGGGCCTTTGCAGGATGGGAAGTTTCTGAATCCTATGTCCCCACATTCTGTCTCCAATCATCTCCACCTGGCTATGTGACACTATGTCCCCAAGTGCAACCCCAACCTAGGCCCAAGCACCTGCCCCTCAGCTCTGGTTCCTAAGATGGGGGGATAGGTAGATCCCAGAGTGCACTGACCTGTAAGCTGTGTGTGGACTCGGGGATGGAGGACAGGCCAAGGGTATGGCTGCAAGGCTGTGAAGAGTGTTCTGAGTCTTCCTCAAAGTCCGCATCACTGAAGGAGAGCAGGCGCTTTTTCTTCTCGGGGGTAAGACAAGCAAGACTGGTCAAACCCCAGCCCCACACCCCTGAGGGTACCCACCTCTAGCTAGAAACTGGCCCAAAGGAGCCCTGAGGTCAAAGGGGGCCCTGGAGCCCACAGTGTCTATCCCATTAGAAGTGACACTGTACCCAGGATCCTAGCTATAAGAAACGTGAGTTCTTGGCCTGACAGGTGTTCCTAGGGTCGGGATTGCTGCAGCCCTGAAGGCACCCCACACACAAGGCATCCTGGGACTTTAGGATATGTAGCTCACTGACTATGGGGTGGAGGAAGGTGAACACTCCATTTTTTAGATATATGAGCATTTCTTTACAACTGCCACCACCCCTCAATACAATTACTCTGATCTTTTATGTGTACCTTTTATTGTAGAGTGTTCTAGACACTGGCTGGGCTGTATGCTCAGCAAATGGTGTGACTTGGATTTTTTTGCAAAAGATGACCAAGTGTCCTTGGAACAGTTCTCAGATCTGATTCTACAGCCCTGTCACCTTCAAAGGGTTCAAGGTCAAACTCCTACTCTCCAGCCCACTTCCTCCTGTGACTCACCACTGGCATCCCATCCCCAAACCTGGCCTGGCCTGTCTTTAAATAACTTAAAAGATAAACAAGAAGAGAAACAGCCAAGTATAAAGACAAGCCCCACCCTGAAAGGTGCAAGAGCTACTTCCAGGCAGAGCGCTTGAGCTATGCGGACACAGGTCTGTCCCGCAGACGATTTGTCACGGCACCTGGATGACAGTCAGGCCAGGCCTGGCAGTGGGATTTGTCCATCTGTACCTTGAAGTTTTGGATCTCTGAAGTGAACACTTGGGCTCCCATGAGGGAGGGGCTCAAGAGGGAGGGGCTGAGGAGTGAAGGGCTTAAGAAGGGAGGAGCTCATGAGGGAGGGGCTTAAGAAGGGAAGGGCTCAGGAGGGAGGGGTTTAAGAAGGGATGATCTCAGTAGGGAGGGGCTTGAGAAGGGAGGGGCTTAGGATGGAGGAGTTTAGGAGGGGAGGGGCTCAGGAAGGGAGGAGCTTAAGAAAGAAGGGGCTTAGGATGGAGGGAGTCCCATGCTGGGGATGAGGAGCCACTGAGGCCGCAGAGGTTCCCAGGTGGGTATGGGCTGGGACTAGGGGAGAAATGCAGGTGCCCGAGGTATGGAGTGGCTGGGAGTTGAGAGGCATGAGGATGGGCCCGAGAGGCATGGCAACTGGGAACAGAGACAGTGTCTGAGGAGAACTTACTTTGCTGTTGAGAGGCTGGGCCTGGGCCTCTGCATCCAAGTCTCCATCCTCATCCGTCTGCTCACTGTCTCCATTCCCTTCTTCCAAGTTTGGCTCAGATCCACCTGCAATACACGCGTGACTCCGCCCTCGGAGGACCAGACTGGGAGACCACTTAACTGTCTCTCATCCATCCTTCCACTCACCTGCCAACTACCCATCTGTGGTGGTTTGAATGAGGATGGCCTCCATAAGCTTATATATTTGAATACGTGGTCTCTAGTGGGTGGAACTGTTTGGGAAGGATTAATAGGTGTGGCCTTGGAGAAGGTGTGTCACGGGGGTAGGCTTTGAGGTTTCAAAAGACTAGTGCGGAGCCAGGTGTTAGTGGCTCATGCCTTTAATCCCAGCACTTGGGAGGCAGAGGCAGAGGCAGAGGCAGAGGCAGGCAGATCTCTGTGAGTTTGAGACCAGCTTGGTTTACAGACAGAGTTCCAGGACAGCCTCCAAAACAATACAGAGAAACCTTGCCTCAAAAAACAAATGAACAAGAGACTAGTGCCATTCCTAGTTACTCTGGCTCTCTTGCCTTCTTAGCTACTGCTCTAGTCCAAGTCTTCATACCTGCCTACTGTCATGATTTCCACCATGATGGCCATAGACTCTAACCCTCTGAAATGATAAGCCCCAAATAAACTCTTCTATATGATGGTGTCTCTTCACAGCAACAGAAAAGTAACTAAGACACCCTCAGTGTCCCTCCTTCCCTCCCTCGCTTCCTTTCTCTCTTTCTTGCTTTCTTCTATTTGTATGTCCACCTACCCATCCACCCAGCCAAGCACCTGTCCACCACCATATACTGCCCATCTTTCTTTCCTTCTATCTTCCCATCCATCCATCCATCCATCCATCCATCCATCCATCCATCCATCCGTCCATCTGTCCAACCATCCACCCATCCATCCATCCTCCCATCCACCCACCCACCCATACTCCCATCCATCCATCCTCCCATCCACCCACCCACCCATACTCCCATCCATCCATCCATCCATCCACCCACCCATCCATCCATCCTCCCATCCATCCATCCATCCATCCATCCATCCATCCATCCATCCATCCATCCATATATCCACCCATCCTCCCATCCATCCATATATCCACCCATCCTCCCATCCATCCATATATCCACCCTCCCATCCATCCATCCATCCATCCATCCATCCATCCATCCATCCATATATCCACCCATCCTCCCATCCATCCATATATCCACCCATCCTCCCATCCATCCATATATCCACCCACCCATCCATCCTCCCATCCATCCATCCATCCATCCATCCATCCATCCATCCATCCATCCACCCATCCTCCCATCCATCCACCCATCTATCCATTCATGCATCCATCCATCCACCCATCCATCCATCCACCCATCCATCCATCCATCCATCCACCCACCCATCCTCCCATCCATCCATCCATCCATCCATCCACCCATCCTCCCATCCATCCATCCACCCATCCTCCCATCCATCCATCCTCCCATCCATCCATCCATCCATCCATCCATCCATCCATCCATCCATCCTCCCATCCATCCATCCATCCTCCCATCCATCCATCCATCCATCCATTCATCCACCCATCCTCCCATCCATCCATCCATCCATCCATCCATCCATCCATCCATCCTCCCATCCATCCATCCATCCATCCATCCATCCATCCATCCATCCATCCATCCTCCCATCCATCCATCCACCCATCCATCCATGCATCCACCCATCCACCCATCCATCCATCCATCCACCCATCCATCCATGCATCCACCCATCCACCCATCCATCCATCCATCCACCCATCCATCCATCCTCCCATCCATCCATCCATCCATCCATCCATCCATCCATCCATCCATCCATCCAGAAAGCCTGCGTGGGTTTCTTTGTCATGTCCACAGTAGGGAACTGTTCTAAGGTGACCCAGGCCTCAGATGGCTCTGGTTCCTCAGGGTGTGTCCTAATTCACAGCGGCCTTGGTCAGTTTACACACACCTTGATCCCTCATCCTGCCTGTGGCTCTGCTGCCTATGAACAAGCACCTGGGAAAGTGCTGGAGGGACACAGGGGACCTGCTTCCTGCCTTGTCCTGCTGGGCTCCTGCCTGGATCACGGGCCTGGGAGACTCAGTTTGATTTCTCTCCTTCCCTCTCTTACCCATGCCTGCTCGGTCGGAGCCTGTAGGGAGCATGGTGGGCAGAGCTGCCTTTGCAGGGAGGCAGAATGGGAGGGGTCTGTGTCAGCAGAAGCAAGCATACAGGCTGTGGAGAAATCAGCTGACTTCCTGGGGTGACATCAAAAGCTAAGCCCCCTCTCCCCCAACCTTCGGGATCCTTTCAGATATGACTTCTGTCATCTCTGTACACTGAGGACACAGGTCCCAGCTACACTGGTCACCTGTCTCATTAGTCATGTCACACAAGTGCTCAAATGGTCTCTAGGATCTACGGACCTGCACTTATATGTGCATTTCTCTCTCTCTCTCTCTCTCTCTCTCTCTCTCTCTCTCTCTCTCTCTCTCTCTCTGTCTCTCTCTCTCTCTGTCTCTCTCTCTCTCTCTCTCTCACACACACACACACACACACACACACACACACACACACACACGGTTATTTTTAATAAAATAGTCTAAGAAAATTCCATCTCCTTCCTTGCATTGGGTCTTGACTTGCTTTGTTTCCTGGAGTCCAGCAGGGGAGAATAAAGTTTTAGGATTACAGGGGTGGAGTGGTGTGGGGCTGAGAGCTGTCTCAGCTGGGTTGCTGTGACTCCTTGCAAGGAAAAACCTCTATGTTGTTGTTTTTTGTTGTTGTCCCACAGCGCCACCTCCTGGCCCTCATGGAGACAGTTTTGAGAAAGGCAAGTTATGGAAGGCAGGAATACGGCTAACATGTAACTGTCAACTTCTAAGTGATTGACAGCTCCCTGGCTACAAGTCCTCAACGTGGTGTAAATTTTGGGGGGAAAAACCCCACAAAAAACAATGACTTCAAATATTGGGGATGTTTATAGCAAGCTGGAAATCCCAGGGGGCTGGAACTCGACCGAGGGCTCCAGAGGTCTGTCTATGCCAACCAACCACACTCCTAACGGGGTTCTTCAACATTAAAGCAAGCCCGGAACAGCTCCAGGTCCGCCCTCCCCTTACCTCCACCCTGCAGCCGCCCACAGAGAGACCGGATCACTTTGGCACTTCCGAAGCGCTTAAAACGAGCTCTCACGTGTTGGTAGTACCACTCCAGCGAGCCAATCCTCACGACTCTGCGGGGAGATGTGTGCAAGTCTGAGGCCCCTCCCGCGGCCAGCGCCACCAAAGGGACACGCCAGGCTTAGACGCCACGAGGGACGCTCTGCCTCCGGGCTCACCTGGCCAAGTGGCACGGATCGCAGAGCCAGCCCTGCTCTTCTGGGTGGACATGGCTGCAGCTTTTGCAGACAAAGAGGCCACACTCCAGACACCGCCTTCGGCTGTTCACGAGGAGCCGGTAGGGCTGCAGGCAGCGGGCACAGTGGGTCTCATTCAGGTGGGCTGTGTCGGACAGCAACTCCCTCTTGGAGCTCTCTTTTTGTATCTTTCCCTTCAGTTCCCTGGGGAAAACATTTTGTTTCTACAGTGAGGTGTGTGAGTGCACACAGTGAGACGATACACAGACAGACAGACAGACAGACACACAGGGCAGAAGACAGTGGCCCAAACTCGGACATTGTGACCATCCGCAGAATGCCAGCCCTCTTCCCGGAGGGGACAAATAGGTCAGGCTTAATTACATAAATTTTGGTAGGCTAGAGTAGAAACCTATGATTTTTCACAGAAATGGCACTGCTCTTAATCATTGCTTTGGCATTTACTATTGTACTCTGTGCCCTCTCTTTTGGGTCAGAGAATCCCGAGGAAGGCCAGGTGACATTTCCTCAGTCAGTGGTTTTGGATATCTTCCAGCATGCACCAAGCTGAGGCCCAGGGTTGTTCCTGCAGAGCCTGACCTAGGTGCTTGGCTTAGAGTGTCTCCAGAGAGAAATCACCCTGCACCAGGGAAGTCCCAGGAGAAACCTGTTCTTCAAGACCATCCAGTTTCAAACAACACAGCTTCCTGGCAAGCCTGCCAAGGGGAGCCAGCTGCAACTGACTGGAAAACGGACCCTGGATCCTAATGAATCCCTTTGTCCTGAGTTTCTCAGAATACCTGCCAAACATAATGTTTTTAGTTTTAGATGGGGTAACAGTAATCTGTCCTGAGTGAGAAAAATTAGCAAGACTCTGGGTCGACTGTCTCCTGAGGACTTTCAAGTTTTCAATTTCCGCAGGGACACCCCAGCGTGCGGAGGGGTGAGGGGTGCTGGGAGATTACAACTGGTCTGGAACTGGCTAACAGGAAAGAGAGAGAGAGACAGAGGAGACAGACAGAGAGACACAGAGACACAGAGACAGAGATAGAGATACAGAGACAGAGAGAGAAAAGTCATATAATTTTAAATATTACAGCTTTTTATACATTTTAAAGTTAGACTACAAAGCATTTGGCTTCACATGGCATCTTCACACCATGTGTCATTATACTGTCTCCCTCCCCATTACCCCTCCAAACTGGTTCCTTTTCTTAGTGCCTGCTTAAGCTTTCCTTTCACATGAAATCCATTACCCTCTCTATTCCCCACCTCCCTCCTCCTACAGGGTGGGTATAGTGGTGCGCACCTTTAATTCCACTTGGGAGGCAGAGGCAGGCAGATCTTTATGAGTTTGAGGCCAGCATGGTTTACACAGAGTTCCAGGACAGTCAGGGCTTCATAGAGAGACCCTGTCCCCCACTCCAAATAAAACCCAAAAACCAAACAAAAAAAAACACAAACAAATAAAAGTCTATTTCTTCCTCCCTTTTCATGATCCTCTTCCTAGTTTTGTGACCTATAAACACATAGGTGTAAACACGAGCAGAAGAATAAAAATATAAACACTTGTCTTTCTGAGCCTAGCTTCTTTCTTTTACCATAAGAATTTATGGTTGCATCCCTATTCCTACAGACGACATGATTACAATTTTCTTCATGGCCATGTAAAATCCCATTGCGTACATATATGACATTTTCTGTATTGGTTCATCTGTTGATGGACATCTAGACTGGTTCCACTTTCTGGGTATTTTAAATACTTCAGCAATAAGCACAGCTATGCAAGCATCTCCGTGTTGGGCTGACTTAGAACACTTTGGATGTGTGCCCAGGCCTGGCACAGCTGAGTTCTATCTTCAAGAACCTCCATATTGACATGCATTGTGGCTGGAGCTAGTCTATATTTATGACAGCAGTGAATAAGCGTTTCTCTTTTCCACATCCTTGCCAGTGCTTGTTGTCAGTTGTTGTCTTCTCAATGGTAGCCATTCTGACTGGGGCGAGCTTTTCATATGCATTTCCCTGATGCCCATGGATGCCGATCACCCTTTCCAAGTATCTACTGTATTTGTAGTTCTTCTGAGAGCTCTTTGTTGAGGTCATTGGATCACTGATTCCTGATTTTTTTTGTATTTAATTTTCACAGTTCTCGTGATGTATTTTTATAACCACTCTATTCTATTTTTAGCTGTGCTGTCACTCTTCTTGTACCTAGTCTATAAGTTCAGCTGTGTCTTGGGTATGCATGTATGGGAAGTGTCACAGTATCCACCATTTCAGACATTGGAATGATACATGATTTCTGAGCAAGAGTGACTAGCATTGTGCTGGCTAGTTTTGTATCAACTTGACACATCCTTGAGTTATCTCAAAGGAGGGAACCTTAATTGAGAAAATTCCTCTGTAAGATCTGTAGAACGTTTTCTTAATTAGCGATTGGTGGGGGGAGGGTCTAGCCCATTGTGAGTGGTGCTACCCCTTGGGCTGGTGGTCCTGGCTTCTATAAGAAAGCAGGCTGAGCAAGCCTTGGGGAGCAAGTCAGTAAGCAGCACCTCGCCATGGTTTCTGCATCAGCTCCTGCCTCCAGAAATCTGCCCTGCGTGAGTTCCAGTCCTACCTTCCTTCAATGATGAGCAGTGATATGGAAGTGTAAGCCAAATAGACCCTTTCCTCCCCAAGAATCTTTGGTCATGGTTTCATCCCAGCAATAGTCGCCCTAATACAGGCTGCTGTGACATACATGAACGTGTTCGGGGAGGACTGTGGGAGAGCTTGGATTAGAAAGGCCATTGAGTCTTGAGAGCTCAGTGAGATGCTCTGAAGGAGCTTGGGAGGTAAGAATATTGAGGGAAATGAGAAAGATGGAGGCCTGGCTTATGAAGTTTCAGAGGGAAGTTTAAAGAGGGAAATGAGAAAGATGGAGGCCTGGCTTATGAAGTTTCAGAGGGAAGTTTAAAGACTAACATTAGTTATTTTGAATTAAGACTTCGTAGTTCTGGGGGCTGGAAAGATGGCTCAGAGGTTAAGAGCACTGACTCTCTTCCAGAGGTCCTGAGTTCAATTCCCAGCAACCACATGGTGGCTCACAACCATCTACAATTCAATCTGGTGCCCTCTTCTGGCATGTAGGCAGAACAGTGTATATGTAATAAATAAATAAATCTTAAAAATAAAAAGACTTCGGAGTTCTGGTTAGCTGGGGCTCAAGAGTCAGCTGTGATTAACATGATATCAGAACTATTAAAGTGAAACCTTTGTGTTACTGGGATACTTGATGCCTGTCAGCTAGATCTGATAAATTAACAGTGATTTAAGAAGAGGCAGCGTCGTTGTGGTGAAATCTGGAAGTAGTTCCTGAGACTCAGCACACAGAAGCTGTTTTCAGACACAGCCAAGGTTGTGCACTGGCAGCTGAACTTGGGAGTGCTAGCAAACCCAGGTGGTACTGGTTTTGAAGGCATAAAGGGATCATGGAGAACAGCTGAGGCTTGACACTGTGAGAGGCCAGGGGAAGCCATTGGTGACAGTGTGGCCTCGGTAGCCGTTGAAGGCCCTGGACTGAAGGGGTTATGCAGGGAAATTGAGGCTTTGAACCATGAAGAGAGCCCAGGGGAGGCTATTGGTGAAAGTTCAGACCAGTTGTAGCAGAGTCCCCAGAGTTTTGGAGATGCCAGTACCATGGGATGAACACCAAGAACAGCAGCAGCTGTGGACCAGCCAGAGCCTGGAAGATGTACCTTGTGTGCTGCGGAGGTGGGGCGGGGTGGGAGTGGGGGTGGGGGTGGGGGAGTGGAGTGGGGAGCCGGAGAATCGACCCAAGCTCCATGGAGTAGTCCAGGAGATCGTAAGTGAATCCCAAACAACTTTTTGGATTTGGTTTTACTTCATTCAGATTGTGACTGTGTCCTGGCTATTCCTTCTGGAAGTAAGAAAGTATTTTTGATTACTCGGGAGCCCATGGTTGAGAGACTTTTAAAAGACTGGATCTTGAAAGAGACTGGCTATTTCAAAGAGACACATTTTTTTAAAAAAGTGTCTGAATTTTTGAAGACTTTTAAAATTTGGAATGTTTATATTGTAATGTTGACATTAGTGTGTGATCTTGGGGAAAAACAGGAAAGGAAAGGTTATGGCTTAACAGTGTTATGTTAAGTTGACAAGGGGTTAATTGTGCTAGCTAATTTTGTGTCAAATTAACACAAACTAGAGTTATCTGAAAGGAGGAAACTGTGACTCAGTTTCCTTCTGTTGAATGGACGTGGTACCATTTGAAGGTCTGAACAACTCAGGGAAGCCATGTTTTTCAAAAGTTCAGTTTCAAAAATTACACACAGGCAGTAGGTTCTCTCCAAGAGAAAGACAGATTAGACATCAGAATGAAAAGCTCATCAATAAGGTTTGAGAGCCCACATCACAACCAACCCACAAGACACAAGGAGTTACCAAAATTAATGCCCAGAATTATCCAAAACAAACAAACAAACAAAAAACCCAAGCAAACAAACAACAACAAAACAAGTCAACTCCTTTAACTGGGTGTAGTGGCACAGACCAGTAACTCAAGCTTTCTGTGGCTGGAGACCATCCTGGTTACGGGGCTGCTGACTTTCAAATGAGCTGGGGTGTGTGCCTGTGTCTCACACTGCAGGTCTCTCTTAAATTACTTCAGGAATTCCTGTGTATTTGCAGAGATCAGAACTCCACACTACCACCTATTTGCCTTTGGGAAGGTTAACAGGTCTAATATTTGGTTAGTGGGCTGCGTCCTTGGGACAGGATGTGCCATTTAAGCTTACTTCAGTCCCTCCCTTCCCAAGGACATGAGTCACTGAGGCTGGCAATGCATCAGCTGCTCTCTTCCTGGGTTTTAGAACCACCCAGTGATTTCCACCACAGCCTCAGCTGAGCACTGGACCCTTACACATGGAGGGAGAGATGCTGAGGACTTTAAATATTCAGGCAAGATCAGGGTGTAGGCTCTCATTCCTCACTGAGGTTGCCTTCTTTGTACATAGTCCCAGGTCACTGAGTTCCAGGATGGGATGTCCCAGGAGGGAGGCGCTAACAAGTGGAGGCTTAACTGGGTGTTCCTGCCAAGGTTTGCTTTGGCAAAGCTGTGTTTGTATAGCATAAAAATAATAACATGATTATATTTTCTGTACTTAAAGCTTTTTTAAAGCCCCAGGTGACACATGTGAATATGGAATGCATGGATGATGATAAGAGACTAAGAGAAACTTCTCTGGAATTCTCTCTCAACTCGGGAAAACAGGATAAAGGAACCTTGATCCAAAGGTCAGTGTTAGCTAGGAAACTTCAGATTGTGGAAGATGACAGAATTAAGCAGCCAGCTCCTTCTATGACAAGCTTCAAAGGGGAGAGAGAGACGAGAGAGCTAGGGAGCAGTGTGCATGTGTGTGTGTGTGTGTGTGTGTGTGTGTGTGTGTGTGTGTGTATGTGTATATTGCAGACTAAACATGACTGAAAAGATAGAAACTGAGCTGGACACCAGATGAAAAGTTTCTAGACCCCAATAAGTCTCTCCACCAATAAAGCAATCCTAATCAGATCAAATCAAACTGAATTAGAAAAAGTCCGAGTTTAATGGATACAATGCTCCCAGATGGCCTTCCAGTCCCTCCCCACCACCCAGTAAGGAGACAGGAAAGGAAGACTGGAAAAACCATGAGTCTGTTCTCTGGGGGGCAGTTTAAATACCCAGTGGGAGTGGTCTTGAGCATCTCTGGGGGAGGGGTCATCATTTGGTGGGCTTTTTGAGATGCAGCAGGGTTTGGAGAGAGATAGGGGAGGGGGCTTGAGTGGAACTTCCACCATAACATCCCAGACTCCTTGGGTAGATGGATGCCAGCACTGAGGAAGCTGAGGCAAGAGGATCCTGAGCTACACAGTGAGACCCTCCCTCAGAAATAAGAGAATGGGGAAGAGGTGCAGAGGGGTCAGGGGAGGAAGAGGAGCTACACAGTGAGACCCTCCCTCAGAAATAAGACAATGGGGAAGAGGTGCAGAGGGGTCAGGGGAGGAAGAGGAGGAATGGAGGGAGAGAGAAGGAGGGACAAAGGAGGAGATAGAGGAGGAAGAAGGAGAAAACTAGCTACCAAATGCAAAGTCTGGACCTTATTTGAAGGTAGATGGAGAAGCCTGAATAGGTTGGACACTGATACTGTGGACTACTTTGAATGACATTGCTGTAAATTATTCTAGCTGGAGTAAAGATCACGTGGGCAAAATCATTGAGGATAACAATAATATAAAACTGCACAGCTGGTTGTCCCCTCCTGACATTCCTAAGTAGCACTCATGGGGCATTCTTCACACCTGGGGGACTTGTCTCTTTGTCAGCCTCCCCCTCTGCAAATCAGGACAACAGCAACCACATCACAGGGTCACACAGATGGAGCTCAAGTGTCACAGTGCAACTCTGCTGGCTGCAGAGCCCACTAGTGACCGTGCCAGACACTGGCGACACAAAGCAAGCTTGTGCAGTAAGGACACAAGAGGTTAGCGAGCAAGGCACTCAGCTGTTGTCATTGAGGCCGTGGGACCTCACGGTGGGCAGGGGTGAGGCCCATTAGCCACAGTGAGAAGGTAGTTGCATCATTAAGCCCAATGGAATGTTCTTTAGAGAATAAGAATGTGACATGACTTGCATCCTGGTTTTAAATCAGGACACTGGGGCCTGTGGGGAGGATGGCCAAGAGGGCAGAAGTGGCAGAAAAAAGAACAAGTGGGCGGAATCTCCCTCAGTTGGTGTGGAGTTGGTGTGGCCTGACTTGGGGCTAGCATTGAAGGCGGTAAACTGATGTTGTGCTGGCGACATATTTTAATGGGCTTGTGGATACATGAATGAGAAGGGAGAGGAACAAGAATGCCTTCTGGCAGCTTGACTTTATTTAGCAACTGAGAAGGGAATGAGGTCTTGGGGGAGATGCATTATGAGCTGGATGTCCAGTCTGAGGGCTGAACAGGTTCATTGAGTCAACAGTTTAGAAAGGTCTTGACTTGCTGTCCAGGCCTACTGTGACACCCACTGACCACTGGCCATAGGTGCTACTTAAGTTCCAAATAAAAGAGGGGCTGGAGAAATAGCCTAGTGATTAAGAGCACTTGCAGAGGACCTGGGTTTGGTTCTCAGCACCCACATGGCAGCTCACAACTGTCTACAACTCCAGATCCAGGAGATTTAATGCCCTCTTCTGGCCTCTATGGGTACTGCACACAGACGGTGCACATACACATGCATATGAAACACTCATATACATACAAACGTAAGAAATATAGAATAAAATCAAACAAAAAGTTAATCCCATAAGCACTCATAGCCATGAAAGCAGGCAAACGGCTGCTGTACTGGGAAATTGTCTGTACAACTTTCACTCCACTGTAGGTTGGGTGTTTGACCTTGGGCGTGGTTAGATTTGTGTTTCAGTGGTAGAGTAGCCTGAGTAAGTCTCTGGGGCCAGTCCTCAGCACTACAAAACAAAACAAAAAAACCAACAAAACAACACCCCTTCCGCCCCTCCCCCAAACAAAACAATAAACCAAACCACTTAAGGCTGGACAAGGCCATAGGCCAGTGAATGCATCAGAAGAAGGGCCCTGGAGCCCCCAAGGTGAATATATAACAAGTCTGGACAGCACCAGCAAAAGAGTCAGAGAGGGAGAGGCTAGGTATCAACACACCACAATCTCCCGAGAAGGGCTCTGTGAGTGCTAAGCCATTATTACTCTATACATTACATTCAAAGATAAAACTGCACTTCCATAACTTGCTTTTCCTGCTCAATGGTGTCAGGTATAAGTTTATTTTTACATTTTTTTTAATGGATGCCAAGAAATCTGCCGTGAACCTCATTGTTACATTTACCATTTTGGGGGCTGGAACGATGGCCACCACAGCATGCGCTCATGGCTTGGGGACACCTGAAGAGTGGCTAGTGAGACAGATGACTTACAGTCTGTCATTTAAGCTCAGTGAATTCAAATAGCCACATGTGGGGGGTGGCTTCTGTCACCTGCCTTTGGGAGGTCAATGTGGTGACTTCATCAGGCCTGGGCTTTTCTCTCTTCTTCAGTGGAAGGCATCAGGGTGAGGTTTGCAAACACACTCTGGTATGCAGACTTTTAAATAGTGCAGGGTGAATTTGTTCTTTGAGCGGTTGACAGATTGTTCACAAAAGCACCTGACGCCAGCCAGTGGTGGGTATTTTATCCCATGACCAAGCAGGGAAGAACACTGCTCATGGGTCCCTCTACCCTGAAGGGTGACCTGTACTCACACCCAAGCACTGACCAGTAGGAGTATGATGAGGTATCACAGTAGACCTCACAGGTATGCTGTTGTGCCTGTGAACTGCAAGAAAGGATTCCAGGCCACAGCAGCTTCATGGCAGACACTGCTGGAGAGAGCACTGGGATGAAAGGAATGGGATTCTCATTTCAGTCAGCTCATTTTGCTGGGCCAATTGTGCCACCAAGAACTGGTTTTGATTTTGTGCCTGTTTCAATATTTCCTTTTCAGCTCCACCCATTGTGAGCAGAGCCTAGTCATCCTGTTGTGACCTCACTGTGCTCCTCCCAACCTGCCTCAGGACCTATACCCTGTACCCTGCCTTCCTGGGGTCAGGCTGGACTTACGAAGAAGCTAGTCTCGGGAAAGCAGGGCTACCCTTTAGCCATAGACTTCCCAGGGCAGCAAACACAGGCCTGAACTACAACCTCAAGAAGAACCACGAGACACCCTTTTGTCAACCCTCTGCAGTGGGACTGTCCCCCAGGTCTGTTGCCATGGTATTAACTGTGTTTGCACAGTGAAAGCCAGTGTGCCTCTCAGGTCTCAGGGATTTTGCAGCTGACTTTCCATCACTCCCCTTTTCCAGTCATCTGTGATTTGAGCATTGTGCACAACCTCTTTCCACCTGGTAGGCAGTTGGGACTTTAAAAATACCCACTCCCGAGTCCCATGGCTACTGCGAGACACAGCATCCTTGGCCAGGTACATCTACCCCCACTGGTTTACCCTGTGCAAAAGGCAGGGACCAGCTGGGGAGGTCCTTGCAAGGTGCTTCCTATCCAAAGACTATTTAGAAGCAACCTTTGGGGCATGGATCAAGGAAAGCCAGATGTTAGAAGGCAGTGATCACGCCACATACAAAAACACCTGGAATTTCACTAAACTTGGGGTGGAGGTTGGACCTGACCTCTTCCAGGTCCCCAGGAAGATGGTGCCTGCCTGGCACTCCTGTACTTGGTTCTCTGCAAAATGAAGTCTCCTTCCGTTGCATGTCAACGTGAATGAAGGTAGAAGCTGACACTCATTTAAAACCAGGGCGCCTGGTCTGAGCCAGGTCTGCTCTGGAGAAGGGGTGCAGCACCAGTTCTGCTCTCGGGTGGAAAGAGAGTTAGTGGCAACTTCGGATGTCAGTTGCTTGGAAAGTGGATCCAGGCTGCCGTGCCCGTCATCAGGTCTGTGCTAGAGACAGGCTTGGCTCCAGGCCAAGCGGGGTGGTGGCGAGGGAACTGGTTCAAGATGGAGCTGATTCCAGAAATCAGGGGTGACAGGAGAGGAAGGCAGGGAGGAGAGAGGAGGTGACTTGGAGAGATGGCGCTGATTGTCCCTTTCCATAATGCTAGACCATGTGTTACTGTGTGCTGGCCTTGAGCTGGGCTTGTCTTTGGTGATTTGTCCTGGACTCTGCTCTGTTTTGGGACCCAGAGGCTCCTCCTTGCCTGACAGCCTTTTCTCTGGGCTTTATCTGAGTTCCCACCCCAGGAATCTCCGGTAACGGTCTTTCCTCCCCACTTAAAATACTGGAGTCAGATGAGCCGTGTCCCCCAACCCCAAGACCTCTACATGCCACTCCCTAGAGCCTCTGTGTTTTGCCTTCCTTTGCTTCTGTTCCGTCTTTGCTCAGGGTCTTCTCCCAACGTCTCAACAAGCTGACCACGAAGGACAGGGAAGGGAATAGTTCATGCAGACTAATAACCTTTCCTAGTGGGCAGAGGCAGAAGTGAGGAAGAGGGAGGCATAGGCAATGAGGTGAATTTCAGCTCGGGTGGTAGGGAGAATCGAGGTGTACAAGCTGGGGTCACACAGGAAAAGGGGTGCTGAACAGGACGGAAGCCAGCCTCTACCAAATCCCAGTGTCCAAGTGATTCAGGGCCATGTCATACTCCCCACCTTCAAGGTGGGGCCTCGGGACCGCGTGGCTCATGAGACAGAACCTAGGCTGGGAGTCAAGCTGAAAGGAGCTTTTCAGAGAACAGAAAGCCTCACTTTCATGATGGAAAACTCCAAGCTCCAAAGAGGAGACAGTTCCCAGATCATGGCTTCCCACCCATTCTTCTCACCCTGTAGCTCTGGCCATGCCCCCACCCAGGGTACCTGACATGACAGCTGCTTGGGACATCAGAAGACCTGATCTCCACAGCTCAGGGAGACACTTACTCAAGTCTTTCTTCTTCTCTCCTCCTTAGGTCGAAGTCCCGCTGAACCACTGCCCACACGTGCTTGGCCTCTTCATCTGTGAGTTTGGAAAGATCCAGCTTTTTCCCCATCTCCACACCTCATCCAGGCCACACCTGGAAAGTCACGGGATCACAATCAATCAACTCCAGGAGGCCCCATGGACACTGAATAAACCACAGAGTGTAAGGCAGATCATAAAAACACGCATGGATCCCTCAGGATATCTGTGCACTGGGCCAAATGGTCTTTTAAATGGATGAATACCTGTCTGAGAACTAGGGCCCTTTGTTAAATTTCACACAGTTAAATGAATGGAAGTACATAGATGTGTAAGGGAATTAGTTCTTGCCCCTGGGGCATAGACAGTTGTCCCCACTGTTGGGGTGCCAATGGTTCCCCACTGCATTTTCTCAGAGGAGGGGAGCACATATGGAAGTCTAGCCCAGCTCTGAGTCCCTGGGGCCACGGCTTATGACCTTCAGAGCTGACAATGCTGGTCTCAGAGAGCAGGGAGCTTCAGAGACCCACCCTCCATGTCTAATCTCCACTGTCAGTGTGACTGGGTTTAAAGTCATCTAGAAGATGCACCTCTGGGTCTATCTACAAGAGGTTCAGGTGAGGAGGAGAGATCCACCCTGAATGTGGGCAGCATCACCCCCTGAGGTGGGGTCCCTCCCTGAAGGCAAAGGAGAAATGAGAAAGAGAGCTAAGTGCTAGCGTTCATACAGCGTCGTGGCTGTGGACCACCTGCTTCCGCCACCATATTAGTCACGTGATGAACTGTGTGCTCTGTGAGCCAAAAGTCAATTCTTCCTCCCTTAAGATGCTTTTGTCATAACAACGAGGAAAGTAACAAGCACCATGGAAAGGTGAGATGATTCCTCATCATCTGAAACATTTATGGTCTTCTGGGGTGGGGCCTGCTTGCTTAGGGGTGTCCCATGGCATAAAAAGGACCCCTAGGAATGTCATACTAGCATGATGCCAAATGTGCTTGCTCCAGGAATATTCATGCAAGGCCCCCAGGGAGACAAAAGGAATAAACCTGGTGACATTACTCTAAGTGTGGCCCATACTGGCTGAAAAACCTGCTTTAGAAGTTGATTAGGACGAAGATTCCCAAGCTCTGCCCAGTCCTGCAGACTAGAAAGCTGTGTTTTAGCAAGTTCCTCAGGAAGTTTGTGTCCACGTTAGAGTGGACTAGTACAGCGAGTCCCCAGACTCCCGTGGGTGGTAGTACTGCCGGGGAGGGTCTCCATTTAGTGGTCACTAACAGATTCAGTCTGCATGTTCTGTTGGGTAGGCAGTGGGTGAGGCAAACCAGCGATGGTGACAGCATAGCTGAGCAGAGAAAGACAGGCTGTCACACTGACTTTTTGTAGAGGTGTCACATGGTTCTCACCGGTCCTATCAATGTGACACTGCACCTGGGTATAAAACTAGCTCCGGCAATGGAGGAGCCTCCCTCATGCATCTTCACTGAGAACATGGCACAGCTCCGCCTGTGATCAGCAGGAGGCTTCTCTGACCACACAGTGATCAGCAGGAGGCTTCTCTGACCACACAGTGATCAGCAGGAGGCTTCTCTGACCACACAGTGATCAGCAGGAGGCTTCTCTGACCACACAGTGGGCTGCACTCCTTTGCTGGCCACTCCCTACTTCCATCCTTCTGAAGCTTCCTAATGGTCAGTGTGGTCATGCTGCTGTCAATCTCCATGGGGACAGTGACTCTGTTCCCGGCATGTAGGTTCTTTCTCTACTCCTCACTGTTTGCAGCAGGTCATGCAGGAAAGCCAATGGATGACCCCTAGTCCAGCTGGCTCCAGAAATGGTTCTTGAGAGGACCGTGTTTAGATGTCAGAAAGACCTGTTTATGTGACAGAGTTGACTAGCACTGGGGACCCTGGAAAATCTTCCTTGAGGAGTTGATCTATTTCCTTGGAAATAATAGAGAGGGGGACAATTCAGGTGCTCTCACAGGGGACCTGCCAACCACCTGGAAGTCTTCATCTTGCTTTCAAATTCTGAAATACATCTCCCTTCAGAGCCACCAAACAGTCAGAGGCAATCAGCATGCATATTTGAGAAGAACTGTTTCTGTGCCACAGAAGTACTTTAATTTGGCCACACAGAGGTTAATTATGGCCCATAGCCTCAGCACTCAGTTGCTGAGGCAGGAGGATCTCTGGTTGGAGGTTAGCCTGGGCTACATAGTGAGATATGCATATCTCACAAAAAAAATTCAAAACCAGCAACAAAAAAGTCTGTGATGATTAATCATATTGTCAGTCTGACTGGATTTGGGATCCGAGGGGACATGCCTCTGGGTGAGTCTGAGTGCTTTTCTAGATAGATTTAATGCAGGAAGGAAGACCCACTCCGAATGTGGGAGCACCATCCCATGTGATGGAGTCCTGACTGAGTCAAAAGGAGAAGGCGAGCTCCGTGTCAGCATTGGTCTCTGCTTCCTGACTGTGGGTGCTCTGTGACCAGCCGCCTCTCACTCCTGCTGCCACAGCTACGGCTGCCGCCTCTTCCCCCACCACCATGGACTGCGTCCTCACACTGAGAGCGAAGCCAAACCATTCCTCTAGTGGCTTTTGTCAGATATTTTTTCCACAGCAAGGAGAAAAGTGTGTAAAAGCAGGTTAATAAAGACAAGTGACCCTGCCCAGGCAGATGTTACCAAAGTGAATTTCCAGAGCCCACCATTGTCAATCTGAATAGGCCCTGCCCCCAAACATTCAGTTTCTTCAAACATGTGAAAGATCATTTCTCAACATGTTCTCACTCACCCTCAACGTTCCCAATCCCCAGCACGGTGGTGACCATGAGGAATGTGTTTAAAGGGTACCTTGGTTGGTGGGAGCAAGACAGTGCCACAAGGAGCCAATCAATGCATTCTTCAGGAGCCCCCCCCTGCCCCCACAGTGCCACAAGGAGCCAATCAATGCATTCTTCAGGAGCCCCCCCCCCAGCACGTGATGTCTGGTTTCTAAGAGCAGAACAAGAAGTTCTTATTAGACGGGTGACTGAGGCTCATTCATTCTGAGTTCTCTTCTTAAAGCCAGTGTCTTACGGGGCAGGGATCACTCAAGGTCTATTCTTGGAGCCGATGAGCAGCGTGACCCTCAGCTGAGGGCTCACCCCCTTACCTCCTGGAGTAGAAATCAAAGCCCCTGGGCACTTAACTCCAGAGCGTGAAGGAAAAGCCAAAGGAGAAGCCACCTCTTTGTCTCCCTCATAGTTCAAATTCTTTTTTTAAAAATTAAATTTTAATTATCAATTTTTGAGGTTAGCATAATGAAGTCATGAGTTTCATCAAGGAATCTTCATACGTGTTTGTTGTTATACTTTCTCAGAGGCTGCTCAGTGTCAGTGTCTATTCAGCAATATCAGCACACATCAGTACCAAATCCAGAGGCTTCTGCACACTGATGACATGCATCCCCCAGCCCAGGCTGAGGCTGTTTCTCCTCACATGATGCTTGTTTTTCATGAGAGTCACTTGGTTTCTTAGACAAACGCCAATGATGCTACGAGGAGGAAAAGGGCTGGGGAGCTCGCTGAGCCTGGGAGGAGTCTGAACTCTTGTTGCTTAGGATGCTGCCAGGATGAGGCAGGAGAAGGGTCCAGACTGGTGCTGGGACAGCATGGCTGGCCATCAGTGGCGGAGCTGAGGGTAGACCCTGGCTAGATGTGTAGGGGAAGCAGTATGGAGGGTCAGGAACTCTGTCCCACACTCGGTCGGGATCTGCGTCCTGAAAAGGCACATCTTGGAGGATTTCTGGTCCCCAAGCTCACTTTGCTTTGCTTAGGAGATCCAGGAAGGGTGGAGCTCAGTGTTTGGAAAGCACACACACACCTGTCGCTAAGCTAAGAACAATGTGTTGGCACCTCATGGGTTGGAAGCCTTATAAAGTTTTCCTCTGATGTCCTTTTTTGGATCGGGTCCCCATGTCCTTGATTGCAGGAGGCTCTAGGGAGAACATTTTGAGTTTGTCTTATGGAAACTATGTATGGTGGTACTACCATAGGACAACACTTGTTTAGGGCATCTTTGGACAACTTGAGGCTGAGCGCCAGTGCCCACAGCATGGTGTGCATTTTTACCTACCATAATAAAGCCCTCCCATTTACTGAATCAACAGAAGACCAGGGCTTAAAGATTTTAATCAAAATAACTTTCTAGAAAATGTTCTAAAATCAAATGAAGAATTTGTTTGATGCCAGTCCTTTAAAATACACAAACTAAGGTAGTGGCATTTTGAGGACATGCGGATAATTTCACTGACCAGCCTCGGCTAGCACAGGACATGCTCATTTGAGGTAGGTGCAAGGGCAGCCCCCTTGTTCAGGCATGGCATGCAGCCTCCAGCAAGTCTGTGATTCCCTGCCGTCCCTGCTCTGCTGGCTCCTCATGAACGAGTCTGTTCCCATACATCTACGCTTGCAACAGTGAAACGCAGGGAATGTGTCCATGGAGGGGCCACGGCTGCCCTGTGTCTGGCTAGGCATGGGGGATGGGCCTGGGTTAGGGCGGGGTGATGCTTCTGGGCTCTGACTGTTCCTCTTCTGTGCTGATAACCCAGTCACGAGCTTCCTGAGCCCCAGAGCACTCTCGAGTTCTGTCTGCTCCACTGCTCCGCTTTAATCCTATTCCAAGTCACCCAGATGCCAGCTGTCCCCAGTTACTTAATGATTGTAATGGGGAGCAGGGAGGCACTGGAAAGAGTGGCCAGCAGGAAGGAGAGATAAAAACTAAGAGGGACCGCTCAGACCCAGCGCGGAGTTTCAAGGGAGTGTTGTCTTTAGCTATTAAAGATTTGAATGAACACTTCGGTCACATTGAAGGGAAACTTGTAGACAAAGACCCGGCTTATCCACTTCTAAGGCCACCTGCCCAGAAGCTGGCACATCAGAGACTGTGGCAAACAAACTGGGCAAAGACTTGGCAGATGCCAGCTGACAGTGGCAGGTATACCCGCTGTCAGGGCCAGGCAGGTCTTGCTGATAACAGTGTAAGCAGAGGTGCCCGCTATGACTCCTTTGGGGGCTGTCTCCAGAGCTTCTGGGTGTGGCTATGTGTGCGGCCAGGGCTCATACCACAGGGGTACTGGGGTCTCCAGTCTCCAGAGGCAGGATGAGTATAATGCCACCCCAAAGCTCTCCCTTCCCCCTGGCAGTGCCAGATGCTACCGGAAGCTCCAGAAAGGCTGCTACAAGCCAGGAGGCCTGCTGTCACTTCTAGCTTGATCTCGCTGTTCCCGTAGGAGCCTCGCTTTCCCTCAGCTATCGGGTCTGACCTACATGCAAAGGCTCTGGTTCAGGCTGTGGCGAGAGTTGAACCACTACAGCTGCAGAGTTTGCAGCTGGGCTCCCAACCCTGTTCAGGCATGGCCAGTATTGCTGCAGACAGGTCCCCTCTCAAGATCTCAGGTTCTCTGTCTCTGCTGTGAGAAGCTTGACTCCATGGCGTCTCTGGTCAGCTCTAACACAGCATGATGCTGGGATCTTAGAATTAAGAGGCACCATGGTGGTAGGGTGGGTATGGTGCACATACGTGTCGGGGGTCGTCTTCTTCCAGAACATGGTAGTGAGCCCTAAAAGGTGCTTTAACCAAGCAAGCTTGTTTCTAGTTAAAAAAAAAAAAAGTGCTTAAACCACGTGACCAGGGCACACAGCAGTCCAGCATCAACTCTGAGGGAAGGGAAAGGCATCATTAGCCCTCAGGCTCTGGGGATCTCTTTGCCCCTCCCCAGCCTCTCCTCCTCCCCCAGTGCTTAGCAGATTTTCAGAGTCACTATGCTTCCTTCCATCAGGGAGACCCACCAACTTCTTGTGCATGGCCAGGACCAGGTTCTCAGTCCCATGAGGCACCTGCCCCGGCCCCCAGTATGGAGATGGGACACTGATGCTGGGAGAGACGGAGGAGCAAATGCCTCCCCCTCCCCTGCCTGGACACACATCCAGGCAGGTAGGGAGCCATCAGGTCCAGGGGTGCACCAACCTCTCTGCCCAGCTTCCCCTGATCCTTTCAGCTCACCCCTTTTCCCGAGACTTCATAGCCAGGGCATCTAGTGACGTCTTGAACCCTCATTATTACACAAAGCCCCATAAAGAAACTAGAGCATTCACAACGAGTGGAAACAGAACAGGTAAACCTGCCAACCCATTTCAGATGAAAGCGAAGAGCTGCGTTTTTAATTCAGGTCAGTAGGGTATAGGTGTGCGCTCTGTGAAATCTTCCTGGATCTGTGAGACTCAGCTCCCTCACAGGGGAGATGCCTGCCATGCCTACAGCCCACGTCCTTCTTCTCACATCCTGACAACAAGCAGGTGGACCCGGGGAACCCATGGTTCAGCAAAAAACAAACAAACAAACAAACAAAAAACAAAAACCCAGAAAAAAAACCAACCAACCAACCAAACATTCCACTAAATCTGGTGGTGTTAGGGTTAGAGGAAGGCAGGGGCCTCTTTCAGGCTCGCAGATCTTTTTCTTTCCTCTTATTCCCCCAAGACCAGCTGGGCAGCCAGGAGGAAGTCTCTCCAAATAGCTTCTCACCCTGAGCTGCAGCTCAAGTCTCCCGGGGCTCCAGCTTTTACCCCAAGTAAGGCTTTTGATGAAAATCATCTGCTTAGCACTAAGTGGGCTCCCCAAGCCCTTAACCACTGTGAGCGAGCCATCCGGAAGTAGCTGGAGTTTGGGGTTTGCCCGAGGGTGGGGCTGCGCCCTTCCTGAGCCCGGGGGGGGGGGTTCCCTCTCCTGGAGGGGGGTGGTCCTGCAAGCCCCAGGTTCGGGCACACTCAGCACTCACCAGCCTCTCTCCTGGGAACGCTCAGCCTCTGGTTCAGCCTCTGGCTCTGGCTCTGGCTCTTGAGTCCGGGGCTCTGCTCCTTGCTCTTAGGTCCTGAGAGAGAAACCCCAAGCCCCAAGGCTCGTGTTGGTCAGGGTGCACTGAGCTATACAGAGCTGAGTGCAGGGAGCCTGGCCGCTGTGGCACAGGACCTGCCCAACTTGCCTGCTCTGATCACATGGGCTACTCCCCTTCCCGCCCAGCTCCGGGATCACCAGGGCACTCAGCAGGACCAGTGCAGGGTGGAAGCCAAGGGTTCTCCTGAGAGGCATCTGTGTGGTTCGGAGGACATGCATCCTCGTCCCCCAAGCTTTTTGAGGGAGACTGGGCGGGCAGGATGGGAAGGGCTGGCACACAACTGGGAGTTCCACCACTTCCCTTAGAGGAGGGACCCACAGCAGAGTGCGTCTTCAGGGAGCACTGTGTCTCCTTGAATATCCATTCTAACTCTAAGGAGACAGTGTCACAGATAGGGAAACCAAGGCTCAGAAAAGTGCCCTACCCAGTCACCTAGTCAGTAAGACTGTGAGCCCAGGGTTTCCAGCAAGAGCCACGCATCGCCCAGGGCCTCAGATTGCAGGATGACCCGGAAGACCCCCTCAATGGGTGGTCCAGCCACCAGGAAAGGAGGTGGGCTTTAATACCAAAGCAGCCTGGTCGGGTCTCTGGTCTTCTCTCCACCTAGAGATCTGGGAGGTCCTGGGAAGACCTCCAGATGGGAGAGGTTTCCAGATCAGCAAGAGAGTCAATGCGGTTTGCATGCTTCAAGCAGCTTCAAGGTCAGCTTCTCTCAAGCCCAGGAGCCCTCCCTATCCCTT